TCATAAAAACTAGCAGGGAGAGGGCAGTTGGCTGGGCTAGGCAAGTGATTCATGCCTCCTCCTGAAAGGGGTTGGCCCCTGCCTGCTTGAAGGAGACAATAAGACCACTCCTGAAGAAACCCTCCCCTTCTTGGGCAAGGTTCCTGAGTGGGTGGTTGCAGGCCTGGACCAGGTGCTATTGGAGGAAACTTAGATCCATTTCAGTCGTGGGTTTGGCACAGAAACTGCTTTGGTTGCCCTGCATGATGACCTCTGTCAGAAGGGAGACAGGGGAAATGTGCTCCTCTTAGTTCTCCTTGACGTATCAGTGACTTTTGACACCATCAACCATGGTATCCTTCTTGAGCAGCTGTCAGAGCTAGAGATGGGTGGCATTGCTTTCCAGTTGTTCCAGTCCTACTTGGATGGTTGTTTCTAGGTGATGCTTGGGGAGTGCTCATTGGCCCCGTGGAGCCTTCAATATGAGGGTTCCTCAGGGTTCAATTTTATCCACTATGCTCTTTAACATCTACATGAATCCGCTGGTTGGGGTGATCTGGAGGTTTGGAGTACATTGTCAGGAATATGACGACAACACCCTGATCTACTTCTCCTTTGCATCTGCAGGTGAGGCAGTGGAAGTGCTGGACCAGTGTCTTGCCTCGGTAATGGACTGGATGAGAGCCAACAAACCGAAGCTCAATCCAGATTAAGAGTGAGGCACTGCTAGTGGCTGCCCTTGACTGCAGCTGCTATCATCCCTGACCATTGGAGTCCAGCATCATCTGGAGGAAGGCAGGTGGGGGAAGGTTGGTGCAAATTGTCAATTGTTCCCAACGTGAGATCACCGCAACATAAGGACCTCTTTCCGCTGCAAAATGAAAGCTGCAGAGTTGACTACTATATCAGCCAAACAAATTCAATACAGGGCAAACAATTTGGCTGGAATAGCAGAAAATTTAGCAAGGATGACATCTGTCACCAAGGGCTAGTTTTGCTTATGGAGACATAAATCCGAGGAGACAAACGAAATGCTGCCGTTTTGGTACGTGTAGCTTTCTATATTTGGCGTCTGAGGTCAGGATTTGTTTTTTTATAAGGCAATAATTTATCCACAAATGTTCAGCAGCATGCAGGTGTTCTTTCTTTAAAAGCGGTAATTCACTTTAGCTTTGTACAAGAGAAATACCAAAGAACATTCCTCCCTTTATCACATTAAATGTGGGGGGTGGGGGGCAGATATTTAAGGGGCTGAGGAGCAGCCCAATCCTCTAAGTCCACCTTTAGCTGTCATAGTGCAGTGATTTGTACTGTTGTGAAAGCAACATCCATCACATGGCAAATAATTCCTCTTGCATTAAATCTGAACCCCAAAACAATACACAGATTGAAACCCTCAAAATGCCCATTTCTCTGAATTTTGCAATGCAGTTCACCAACCAAATAACGTGTATAAAAATGAATGCACAAGGGTAAAGTGTGCAATAAAACATATATTAGTGAACATACAATACAAAGTGCATTAAGTTATGGGACATTGTTTTGCAAAATTGTTTATATTAGGCAAAATTGCATACAAAAATGTGTCTATTAGGGAGAAATTCACTAAAATGCTGGTGAGGATTTTTTTTTCATTAAAAAATGAAAACTTATGTGGAAGTATGGGGAAATGGGTAATGGAGAGAAACTCAAACTGATAGATTCATCCATCCCTATTCCTGACAAATTCTCCATTTATCCATTAAGCGCTGTGGTCTAAACCACAGAGCCTAGGGCTTGCCGATCAGAAGGTTGGCGGTTCGAATTCCCGCGACGGGGTGAGCTCCTGTTCTTCGGTCCCAGCTCCTGCCCACCTAGCAGTTTGAAAGCATGTCAAAGTGCAAGTAAATAGGTACCGCTCCAGCGGGAAGGTAAACGGTGTTTCCATGCGCTGCTCTGGTTCGCCAGAAGCGGCTTAGTCATTCTGGCCACATGACCCGGAAGCTGTCTGCGGACAAACACTGGCTCCCTCAGCCTATAGAGTGAGATGAGCGTGCAACCCCAGAGTCCTCCGCTACTGGACCTAACGGTCAAGGATACCTTTACCTTTATTATTGTTACAGAGCAATCCACACATCCCTGATGCTGTGCCAGGCTGGATAGACTGGGTGAAGGTACTGCTCTCTAAAGCACAGGAGCAGCCCCCTTCCCTCCAATGGCAGCCTTGTTTACTTGTCAATAAGCTCCTTGTATATGAAATCTCCAGCCTTTCAAGCTGCTTGACAGGCAGAATTGCAACAGGTACTGCAGCATTTCCTAGCTTAGAAATGCAGCAATTGAGAAAGCCGCACGTTTTCATCTCTTCTCCTTGCAAAGCTTTAGAAAGCACAGATGATGCTGTTCCAGAAAAAGAAAGTGGTATCAATTCTGGGCACAGTGAGTAAAGGAGTCTGTGGTCCTCTGGATGTTGCTAAAATCCATCTCCCATCATCCCTGACCGTTGGCCATGTGGGCTGGGACTGGGGATCAGACAACATCAGAAAGGGACTACAGTTTCCCTGCAGAGTTGCCTGTCCAACCTTTCAAATAAATGTTCTTATGCCTTGAACTTCAAAAAGGGCTAAGAGTGGAGAGGAAGAGGGTTTCATGATTGTCATTAGAGTCAGAGGTAAAAAAGTTAAAGGGTCCCTGGACGGTAAAGTCCAGTCAAAGGAGATTATTGGGTGTGGCACTCATCATAATTAATTTTATAATGAATGATTTTAGAGTGTTCTTTATGCTGTACTTTTGTATTGTTTTATTGTTGTTAGCCGCCCTGAGCCCAGCTTCGGCTGGGGAGGGCGGGATATAAATAAAATTTATTATTATTATTATTATTATTATCTTGCTTCAGGCCAAGGTCTTTCCGGGTCATGTGGCCAGCAGGACTAAGCCCAGTATTGTCAGCTTCAAACAGGGGAAACAGGTCTCTCCTCTCCTCAAACCCAGGGGAGGTTTATGGCTGACCAAAATGCATCCAGACCCATTTGCCTTAAGGGATAAATGAAAAGAGCAACCTGTTTCTCTCTTTGTCACATTTTATGTCTGTCTGTGTGTCATCTGAACACACCCTCTTCCTCCCAGCCCAGGTGCAGATCACTTGCCCCAGAAAATTTCTCCCCAGGTCCTTACATTGCTCTGTCTTGTCTAATTCTTCCTCCCACTTGCTTTTTCTCCCTCCCACCCTGATAATCTCCCTTCAGACTCTCCCTCCCCACAAGGTCCCTCCACACCTGAAATCGAGCAACCCTTGAGCAAGTACAAATTGAAGGGCATGTGGAACTTAGAATTCTTCAGCCCTGGAACTTGAAGGGGGAAAAGCTAAGTGATCTTGCTGATTTTTTGCTCTCTTCGTCTTTTGCTTCCCGTCACCCACTTTCCAAACCTACTGCCCGCCCCCGCCCCCGCGAAAGCATTATCCTTGTCAAAGAAACATGAGAGATAATCAGTGGGATTACAGGCTTTAGAGAAAAGATTGATAAAAACCAATCGGTTAACATTCACTCAGTTTATATTGAATTTTAAGGGAAAGGGAAAGATGAAATATTTTAGAACTACCGTTTTGCAAATGGTCATGCAGCAGTTCCAAAGACACTGTCCAGAGGGTTATAGGGGTTTAAATAGAGAAATATACTTAAGTGAGACCCGCAATATGTTGTCATGTGTCCTGGCCTCTAAAAGGAGTGCTCCAGTTGAGGTTTCCACCAGCCTTGTAAGTCCACCAAAATAAAAGATGCAAGGGGTTTAAAGCTGATAAATTTATCCCTCCCTACTTTTCCATCAGTCATTTCCAGCTGGCACTTAACAGTTCATGTCTCCTGGAGGCCACCAGTAAGTTCAGTTTTCACTGGGCTATGTTTTTTCTTTCTGGCCCCTTTTAAAATGTTCTGTATTTCTCCATAGGTCAGGGTTCATCCAAGGATGCAAATATGCCTTTCATTTTTCATTGGCCCTCTTGTGGCTCCAATGCTGCTGGCACAAAACCACAGTTCCAAGTGTTTAAGTCCTAAACAGCTTCAGCCCTATATACATGAAGGAGGGTCTCCACCCCCATTGTTCAGCCCAGACACTGAGGTCCAGCTCCGAGGGCCTTCTGGCAGTTCACCCACTGTGCAAAGTGAGATAACAGGGAATCAGGCAAAGGGCCTTCTCGGTAGTGGTGCCCGCCCTGTGGGATGCACTCCCATTGGATTTCAAGGAAATAACAACCTACAGTCATACCTTGTTTTGCAACCAGGATCCATTCCGGAGCCCCAGCCGCTAGCCGAAAAGGACGCAGGGGAAAGCGCCGCATCTGCACACGGAGCAGTTTGCGCTTCTGCACATGCGTGAGCGGCAAACCCGGAAGTAACCCGTTCCAGTACTTTGAGGTTTGCTGCGGACATTCGCTGAAGCGGATGCTAGACAAGGCGGACGTTCGCTGAGGTATTACCGTATACAACCAAGTAACTATACAACCTTTATAAAACATCTAAAGACAGTCCTGTATGGAGAAGTTTTAAATGTTTAACATTTTACCCGGTCAGATGGATTTGGTATGTATGTATAAATTATTATTATGCCCACATGACAAACAGTACTGATGCATTAGATATTGTTGACAGCAATTTCTCAGTTGTGGTCTTTGCCTAGCAGCTTGAGATAACAAAATAATACGGGCGCAGGAAGACAAGAACTGCAACAAGATCACAGGCAGCTTCTGGGCAATGATAGTCATATGAACAGTAGTGCTTATAGTAAGACCAAGTTCGAATCCCCACTCAGCTACAAAGTTCATTGGTTGACCTTGGGCTGGTCACAATCTCTCCGCCATCCTATCTCAAGGCTGAACGTGAAGATGTGGGGAAAGAGAAGAGAGCAATTCAGGCAATTCAACTGAATGTCTGGATAGAGGTCTGGTAAAAAAGCTGCTTTTTGTTTTCATGCTTAAAATTACTACCGGAAATATTGCAAACACTCATATATGTGTGTGTTATGATGGATAACAGAAAAACATCCTCAAAGTCAGGCTTTTATCAGTGTTTTATTTTTAAAAACAGGTGAATCCACTTTTTTATACACATCATTGCACTTCAACAAGTACACACATCACAAGTTCATGCATCTACAGGTATGCCACAATCTAAGAACCCTGTTATGTCTGTGACTCTACAATCAATCTTTAAATCAACATGAAAACTTAATGTCAAACGGAAACAAACCAGTTGCATAGAGTATCACCATGCTCTAACATTAGCATTTAAGCAAAGTAAATTATAAAATTCTGCCTGAATTGAATGTACAAGAAGAATGTGAACACATCAGTGCAAAAGGATGAGAAATTTACATGATTTAACAAAAAAAATCATTTAAAAAGTAATCATAATATTTATAAACTAAAGATTTTTACTGCAGCTCATCACCACCAATCAAACTATTCCAGTTCTTGCAGTCTTTGATAATATAACCAAGCCTGTCATTATAGATTAAGCCCTTAGAATAATTTATGTAACTTCTCTTAAGTACTGGACATAATTCACTTATCTCTCAGACATCGAATATAAGGAATGAATTCAGAATCTTAAAAATCAAACATTTACTGTAATTTGGTTTCCCCTCCCAAAAATATAAATATATACTGTATATATTTTAGGTTTTGCTGTACTTTTACAAAAGTTATCACTAGATGGCAGCAGTGCATCTTTGAGCTTTGCTAGTCTTAACAGCTACATTAAGTAAAAAATGCTGCATGCATGATTGGACTTTTTTTACTTGTAATACTTAATAGTCTCAAAGAAAAGAAAGCAACAGTCACAGCACATCAAGCCAAAAATTGTTTACACCCTCTATACTGAAGCATTATTTAATGTGTTGGCTAGGTCATCCTTACTGGAGAGGCTAAATAAGGCATGCTTTAGACAGTCATTGTTGCTCACTTGAAAAGAAAAAAACATCAGAGATGGGACTGGAGTGTGAAACCAACCATTTCAATTATCCAATTTAGCCAGTGATATTCCCTTCAGTCTCTCATTCTTAAAGCTCTGAAAAACAAGAACAGTTCAGTGGTTAACTACATCACAAATATGTCGTCCAAAAAAGCACAGTAGAAAACATCTAAAGCCAAGCAAACTGCATTTATATCTGTTTTTAATGGTTCTTTTCCATATGTTATCTAATCACCTAAACTACCAGAAAGGAGAGTTATGTAGTAAAAAATATGTTCAGAAAGCACCAGATAAAAATTCCAAACTGTTTGCAGAATTGCTAACATGTTAATTGCTAAATAGTATTACAAAAACACAGTATCACATGCATGACAAAAGTTTAATTCTATTTGTTCGCTGTTGTAATAATTGTTTTCTCAAATTGTACCTTATGTGCCATGTAAAATAAATAATAATAATAATAATAATGAAGAAGTATCACACAATTAGAGCAGGACGATAAAAACATTCAACCACACTGAAAGCTCAACAGAATAAAAAGGTCTCAAGAGCATGCCTGAAGCGTAAAGGGAACCGACTGCCCTTTCAAGAGTTCTATAGGCTCATGTGGAAGGAGGTGGTCCTTCAGATACTGTGGTCCCAAACCATTTAGGGCTTTGCAGGCAAGAGCCAACACTTGAATTAAGCCTGGTGACAAACTAGAAGCCAGAGCAGATGAAACAAAACTGCATTCTGGAGACAAGTGTGGCAGCCACATTTTGTAGCTCACATTTCCAAATGCTTTTCAGAGGAAGGCTCACATAAAGCACATTACTGTGAACCAATTTGGGTGTGACCAGGGCACGTATAACTGTCCATATTTGTTTTATCTAGGAACAGCTGGCTCACCTGTTGAAGCTTTGCAAAAACCACTCCTGGCCATAGCCAACACCTGGCATCAAAGAGCAAAGCTAGGTCAAAAAGTACTCCCTGGTCTATGTACTCGCAGGGGAAGTACAACCCCCTTTCAGAAAATTGTTTCCAAAGCAACTTTTCTAGTTCTTCCCAACTTCTAAACCATTTTAGAGTCTGTCCTGTGCAGTTACTGGTGCCTTTGCGCACTGATTTCAACAAGTGTATTGAGACCTAATGCTGCAATAGATCGGGTTCCCTCTCTTGTCTAGTTAAGTTTGTCCTTCATTTCTTTACCTAGGGTTTAAAAAAGTCACAATACAAATTTTTATATATTCTCGACAGAACTCAGATTTTAGAGACAGGCTTACATTAGCATTATTTTAATTTGTGTTTCTCTGGCGTAGATTTTTGTCTTTATGGTTGTTTGTGGAGTTGGTTTTCCTAGGGAAGAAAAAAAGGCATGGAATTAAACTTGTAAAAAATAAAGTCAGCATGAATAAACCTTTTTAAGATACTGAATGGAATGAAAACAGCACAAAAGAAAAACAGCATTTGTACAAAAGTAATATGGATAGAAAAGTAATCAGGTTCCGTAACAAGTCCCTTTATAGCAGTCAGGCAGCTGAATGAACAATTTAGACTTTTCAGACAGCACATCAGTTTCTGGGTGATTAAGGGCAATAACTGGTTCAATTTGCATTTCCTTGCTTCTCAGCCTTTAAAAATTGGCCGAACCTTATATGTCAACACTATTTATTGATGGCGTCACCTTTGGATTCCTCCCGGCTATGTCAACTGTTAGGCCACCTGGAAAGGGGCTTGTCACTTTTATACTTTAACACAGGATTGCTCAACACCAGCAATTCTATTGTGTTGACCACATAATCCATCTATTATGCTAATCTTTCCACAGTAACTTAATAAACAAGTCTGTTAAATTATTATGGGATTTGTAAGGAACATGTTGCACTGGAATAGAGAAGTTATTTTCTAAGCAGGCTTTGCTCTTTGCAAATTAAAGAACATTAAGAACTGCCCTGCTGGATCAGACTTAGTTGAGCTTATTGCTTTTCCAGTGGCCATTCAGATTCCTTCAGGAAACCCAAACTTTGAAGACAACAGCCCACCCTGGGCAAACTACCTATGAATCTGGAGATTATGCCTAGTACTGTAGCTATCAATAGATGCTATCTTAGTGGATCACCCTTTGAAAGCTATCAATAGTTAAAAGGAATTTGCTGTATTCTATAATGGTGAAATTGCTGTATCCTTTTTTTATAAACCTTCTTCCTCACTTCCCTATAAAACAGCCAGTTAAAGATAAAAACAAAGTATTAGCGTTAGTTGAACAAGACAAGACCAACAACACGTAAAACAGCAAAAGCCACACTGAAATAAGCCCAAACTCAGAAATCCAATCCTAGCATTTGCATACTGGAAAAGTTTTAACTGTTGCACGCTCTTAACTTTGAACTGCATATTCTATTTTTATATTGTTCTGTGATTAAGTTATTGTGCTGGGAAATTTTGAACTATTTCTGTTTTTAACTCTGATATTGTATTTTATAGGGTTGCGTTTTGATGTTTTGAAAACATTATGTAAGGAGCCTTGTGAGGGCAGTGTGTCCTGAAAGGTTTAGTAAAGGTGTATTAAATAAGCAGCAATGCCAACTCTCCAAAGATCAGTTCTTCTTTACTCTCTGAATTCAGCATCAATTTAGGCCACTGGCAGTCCTATGATTTATTTTAAGGCCTAACGCAGTAATTTTTCAAACTGGGTTTTGAGCTCCCTGGGTTCCTTGGACAATTCAGGGGTTTCTGAATGGGAGGTACAATTGTGCCAGAGAAACTTCGTAGGAAGATAGCTTGTTCATCATTACCAGTCGTCCTTTGCAATGTGAAGCCATGGAGTGCAAAATGCAAGTTCAGCTCACACAAGGCAGTGGCAAGGTCTAAAACACTTGCCCAAAGCTCTCAAAGACCCATGCGAATGCTGTTGATTAAATTTATTTATTTAAAATATTTATACCCTACTCTGCATTACCTAAATGAAAGTAATTCATAATTACATAAGAATACATACTGTGAAATAAACCAACTGAACAAAAGCAACATATAAAGCTATTAAAACAATACCAAAACACATCACTAACAGGAGTTTTCAAGTGCTTAGGTAAACAAAAACAAAAAAAATTCCCTAGCACCTGAGCAATAAAACTGGGCCTCCTTGGGGATGGCATTTCCACAGTTGAAAAAAGACTTCCTTGTTGACATCTGTTTCACCTCTGACTGGGACAATTTAGCAGAGATCTTGGAATGCAGGCAGTTTGATACAAGAGCAGAGGTTTCATCAGGTCCCTGGGCCCCAGATGCTTATGGCTCAAAAATTCAGCACTGCCAATTTTTAACTGAGCTTGAAAGGGAGCCTGTGGAGCCAGTGAAGCTCTTTCGAGGCTGGCATGATATGGTCAAAACAAGGCATGCCAATCAAAAATAATTTTAATAATCAACATTTAATTATTTGTACCCCACTCATCTGACTGGGCTGCCCCAATTCTAGAAGGTTCTGGAAGATGTATCTCTGTGTAACTGAAGCTTTTGTAACACCTTAAAAGGTAGTTCCACAGAGATGCAGTGCCTTGGAACCATGGTAGACAGGTGATCATAGAATGGGTTCCCTGGAAGGTGGAAAAGTCTAAAAGTCATTGCCTCCCATATGAAAAATAAGCAGTCAGTTATGAAATACTTACATTGGCCCAGCTGGTTCATCATCTGCAGCAGGAATTCATTATGATCCAGTGAAGGAAAGAGAGAAGGAAAGAAGAGACTAGTTAAGAATCCATAGTAAACCTTTACTGGGCTGCAAACAGTATTATCTACATACAGCATTTATTTAAAGGCCATTCCATTTGTATTGCAAAGATTCATGAAGTTATTTTTTCTGGCTTTGAGTTTAGATGACAAGTATGTTGTTCAAAATGATTTCAGTTAACACTTTTAATGCTCATCATGAAAAACTGCAACTGTAGTGGACAGATTGTTGCAATGTGGTCATATTCATCTTGTCCCCAAGTTCCAGTGGTTCAATCTTAACAAGATAGATGAGAAGACAAACCAACATTTCAGTTGTAAAATCCTGCTGTTTTGTTTCTAAAAATAAAGGCTTTCCCCCGCCTCTTAAGTGTTGATGGACAAAACACAGGAAATCATATACCACCCTAGACCATCTTTCACACACTTTTGCCTGATCTCTTAATAAAATTAAGTTCCAGAAAGTGGAAGAGGCAATTTTGACTGATACTAAAAAGGCAGTCCTTCTGATAGCAGCAAACGTCTGTGATTCCATGTATAAATATGGGGGGGAAAAGTTTCTGGCGAAACAGCATAAAGGTTACACTAGTATTACAGTTCACAGAGACTTCAGCTTGCGAGATGGGAGAGCCAGAAAGTTGTCCCATTTTTAAGGTATATTTTTTAGAAAATAGAAAAAAGTCAACGTGTGGCTTTTCACATAGGCTTCTTTATGATCAACTGAACATTTCATTGATGCTTTAAAATGATGCAGTACATTAAACAACAAAAAGGCATTTTTTGAACAAGGAAAATCCCAATCCATAAACTTGTGCAAAAACTTCTGTAGAACTTCTACGGATGACCATGTTTTCTGCATTTCATCATTTTTCCAAGCTAAAAAAACCTTTCTCTAAAATCTTTATTATTATTTTTTAAACTCAGCAGGATTCCACAAGGGGTCTTAGGGCACACAAAGCAGTTATGGAAACTACAGTCTTAACAGTGTTGGCAACCGCATGAGCACACACTAGGAGTAATGTTGATCAAAGCTGAACATTACTCCACCTGTACCTTCGAGGCAACGGATAGGCAAAGCCACCGCCAGCACAGTTATCAGAACAAAAATAAATAAATAAAACATTCAAAATAAAGAGAGCTAACCACAAACCAACAGCTTGACAGCCAAAATAACACACTAGCAACACACTAGTGTCCACAAAAGTCTGTTACTAACAGTAAACTATCAGAACAAGGTACAGAAAGAACTAGGACTAGTAAGGACAACCAGACATCAATGTGCTGTATATACAGTGGGGATATACAGAGACACATCAGGTATTGAAACATAAAGCACATTACAGCAAAACTAAGTCTCCCCTCAAAATGAACACCTTTCAATTCCCAAAAGATTTCAGAGGAAACCTAGGCTATAGACTCTACATTATAAACAGTAGATTTAAGAGCCATTTACTAGAATCTGTGACACCTTGGTGAGAGTTCTTAGGTTTTTGCTTTTTTAAAAAAGAAATGAGCAGGGTTAGTAGTACCACATTAAAGCAGTCATTCTACTCAAATCCTTGCTTTGGTCACGACAGCCTACAAAAAAGATGCTTGAAGTTCTTTCCCCTATGCAGTTCTGAAAAAAATGCAGGCTCCTGTCCTTCTCTTAATCAATCTGCAAGCTCTAATTTGTACCACCTGAAACATTGATCCTCAAGCATTCTGGGTGGTAAAAGACAGCTTGAAAGCAGAGGTTTTATTGAATAAGTTTAACCAAAAGGTTTTGCACTTTAACAAAAGAAAGTCAGGTGAGTGCTCTGGCACTTATGCATTAGGTGCTGGAGCGTGGCCTGCACTGTTCACATGCAACAATCCTATTGGACTGGCAGGACTTCCACCACCTCCCTCTGTGTCCAGTAAAGCATGGTTGTCAAGTGAAAACCTTAATACACCACTAGCTTGTGGGTCAGCCGCTTGAGCATTACAAAATCGGCCCCAGCACGGTACAATACGTGACAGACAAAAGGACCGAATCCTAGAGAAGTCGACCAATAAAAGGGAGGAACAGAACTACAGAAAAATGGTACAAATTAGAAAATGAAATTCAACAGCAAACTTAAACCCAAATTAGTTGTGAACGTGAATGAGTAAAACTAAGAAAAGTGTTAACATTATGAACTGTGCATTGTATAGACTGAAGCGGAGATTAAACAAACTCCAAAGCATGCAGATCTCTCACTTACCACCATTTTTAAAGGAATGATGCAATTGAAGGGGGGAAAAAAAGAAGTCATAGTAACTGACAAATAACAATACAACTCAAACAGCATGATCTAGTAATAATCTAATTTGCTAGTAGTTGAGCTGGTGGTCACACAAGACAAGATGTGCCTCTGTATTCCAATCTGATGGGTGCAGGTCCAGAGTAATGTACCTTGCCCATTTTTTGGCCGCTGATAAATATGCTTCCATCACGGAAGGTACTCTGCCAACTTCTTCATTAGATTTGTAAACTATAAAAACCAACTGCAGGCCTAGGATACATGTGCATTTGAGAGAGATATTATATGCTCAGCAGTTCTTAAGGGTCATATTTCAAAAATTAAAAGCATGCATTGTGTAGCTTAGTGGTGGAGAAGGCACTGAACAGCGTTCCTACCTGTCTGAAATTCTGACTTCTCATTTTACACTTTTGTGTATCTAAACATAAATACAGCAACTCTGAACTAGTTTGAAGAACAAAGGTATGTTCCCCCCCTTTAAAGTCCCTTAAAATCCTCTGAAGGCCCCAATGACTTCCTAGCTGCCACTTAAGAATATTTCTAAAAAGAAACATACACCAACTTTATCTATAGAATCTTACAGATACACCTACACACCCCTTGCAAACCTGTAAATTCAGATTTTTAAAAAAGATGTTTGTAGCTGCTTTGGGAAAATTATAGTTGAAGAGCAAGAAAAAAGTATAAAGATCAAAGTAATGGATAAAACGAAGTGCCTCTATTTTGTTCACCAGCATCTGTACCAGAGAAACAATACAAAATGTAAAAGTGAGAATCCACGCCAAGAAGCCAGAGCACACAATGCATTGTCTTGTGGTTGTGTGATGGAACAGCACTACTCATTGACTCTCCCCACTGGAGGAGCTAGATATGCAGCAATTGCTGATGAAATATATATATATACATAAACCGTATTTTTTGCACCATAACACTCACTTTTTTCCTCCTAGAAAGTAAGGAGAAATGTCTGTGCGTGTTATGGAGCGAATGCCTACGGATGGCGGGGGGATCTGCTGCAGTCGTGAGCAGAGGATCCATGGTTCCCCTTCCTTCCCTCCTCCGTGGCTCACTTTGAAACAGCAAAGCGGGAGAAGAGCCGCTGAGTGGGGGGGGTGGGAGAGGAGAGGGACAGAGAGCCTGCTTGCTTTAAAGGAGCAAAGCGGGAGAGGAGAGGAGCCTTCTCCTCTTATACCCCTCTTCTGCATTATTAACAGCATCCTTCTCCACCCACCCCATGCGTGTTCCTTGTCCCTTGAGTGCTTTTCCTTCCCTCCCCACTTAAAACGTGGTTACAAAGCACGGATCCACATGGATCCTCAGGATTTTTGCATTGGGCTACCCCAAACTCACCGTCAGATCACATGTCTGTGGCCACAGCATGAACCACAAAAATCATACATCCACTGTTTCGTTTAGAATATTTTTTTTCTTGTTTTCCTCCTCTAAAAACTATGTGCATGTTATGGTCGGGTGTGTGTTATAGAGCGAAAAATACGGTATATATATTTACAGCTTTTGTACCCTGCTCTTAAGCTTAAAAGGCTCCCAAAGTGGCTTTCATACTATCATTTAAAACAAGACAGCCCTCGCCTGCAGGCTTGTAACAAACAGCAATCCAAGGGCTAAAACTGCTCCCTCATGTCTTCAAATAGCTGGCGGGTGGGTGGGTAAAAGAGGAGAAAAGTGACAGAAGCAGGAGAAAATGAACAAAAGGAATCACTCACTTCTTAATGGCATACACAGGCCTGTATATGCATTAACCACCATCCCCCTTAATAGGAAGGGGGGCCGTGTTGAGAACACCAGCAGAAGTTCATTCCTTCTGCAGTTGTGCTCCTGTCTGTGCCCCCATTTTCACATAGTGCAGTCTGGATTTACTGTGAAGCAGCAGATCCACCAGGAATGGGGACGGGGGACTTTAACCTCACTCCCTGCATGGTAATCAGTAAAAGTAGTTGCCAACTGAGATGTTATATAGAGGGGGGAATATTGATGAAAAGACAGAGTACGTTAAGCTAAAATGAAAGCCCTAATTTTGTGGATGCTATGCTGAACCAAATTCTGAGCAAGGAACAGGCAGGTGCTTGGGGTAGGGGGAGAGAGAGGGTGGGTGGCAGCTGTAAAGAAGTACCCTGGAAACCATTAAGATATGAATTTGAAATGTTTGCTTCGATTAGCCATATTATTGGTTAACATTTCAGGGGTCAAAGAAAATGTCTGGCATCCAAAATATATTTTGACTTTTGGACTATTTCCCCAGTTGCAAAGTTCTAGCATGAACAGTGACTGAAACATGCATAGGATTCAATCACATTACACATTTGTGGGTTGCACTTTCCCCCCACAAAAGTATGTTTCACATAAAAATTAGAACATGACAAATGTCCAAATTTTAAAATGCAATGATCCTCTGCATGTATCGGCTGCTCAAATTCAAATGTATCAGCTGTACAAATTCCATATCAGATTTTTTTCAAAGAGAGAAGCTACAGAAGGATAGTCCATAGACTTTTTAATTGAGATTATCTCCCCCTCCCCCGTTCCACAGCATTCTAACATATACTGGGACCAGATTAACTGCTCCAGATTAACATCAAACTCTACCTTCTACACTGAAGAGCAGAAATGCTTTCAACTCATTTTCCTGTTTGATTCCAAGAATCACACCCCTCAGCAACAACACTGGAAATAAAATGGAGGAAGCTTGAGAGCTTCCTACAGTAAGTACTCTAAGACTTAACACAGCTGAAAGTTTTAACATAAAATGGAACTGTTGAGAGATGCCATTAAAGGGCTTTTGAGAAACATTTTACAACAGCTTTTGAGTCATTTTTTTATCAGTATATTGAAATATACTGATACATAAATGGCATTCTGTTGAAGAAGATATCCACATACCAACCAGTGCAAACCATATGAAAGAGAATGGAGGGGCAAATCTCTAGAAGTGGCAACGTCTGGCCACAGTCAGTCTAAATAGATGTGAAATAGCACCTACCAGAACTAACAAGTTAGGGAAGGCAATTAACAAAGCCAGGCTTTTGGGACTGCTAGTGTACTAGAACTCCTAGGCTGCAAGCAAAATTAGTTCCTATACTTTCATTCATGAAGTATAGCTACCTTTTGCTAGGGAGATTAGATGTGCACAGAAGTGAAGGATAGGAAGAAGGGGGGGGGAGAGAAGACAATTAGAAGTTATCTTAATGTTACTATTTATAAACTAGGATCAAGGCAAAAAAAAATTGAATATCAGAATGTAAGTAGGACAGTGGAATGAGACTATTGCACATCCAGCGCAGAAGTACACACATGAAATTAGGTGTAATTAGGTGTAAGTTCACAAATAAGGAAAAATAATAATAAAAGCAGTTACCACAGCTTAATAAACTAAAATATATGAAGCAAAAAGTAGAAGAAGAAGAGTAGAAACCATATGTTTGTCATGTATATCTGGATAAAAATAAGGAGTCTTTATTTTTTTACTTACCCCCCCAAAACACATACTTTAAAAAATGGGAGTGTATGCCTATAAACTAATCCAATAAACAGCATTCCTTCCATTAAAATAATCATATTGGCATGTTGCACAACTCACTATGATCGAGCAATTATTACTGTGTTCTTGGGGAGGGGGGAATCACCATAAGAGGAAAATGCCACATGCCACCATGTAAGCAACAAAGGCTACATTCAGACAATGGCCATGTTTGGACAATAAAATCCTATCTTAATGAGACAGGATAGGCACAAGTTCCATGCACCCCTTGGCAGATGTGGGGAAATAAACTGGAAGCTGCAGTTAAAAACAGAGCTTCTCAGTATGTCCAAACTGGGAACTATGCTTAATAGTTTTGAAGCAAGTCAGGATTCATAAGCCCACTTTAGAGCATGGCTTTATATCCTGGGGTTTGTCTGCAAGTCATAGTTTCATAGTTTGGATTTATCAAGAAGCTATGATTAAATGTGGCTTCCTGGCTCGTTTCCATGCTCATGTGTGAGTGCATGGAGCATGATCAAATCCTGGGCAATGTAATTACACATTTTAGCACCGCTTAAAACGCCTTTGACCTGCCGCCCCCCCCATCCTGAATGGAAAGAAAAGCAGCCAATAAAAAAGGTGCCAGTCATGTAATAATGATCTTCAGTCATGTAGGAAGCTGAGGAGGATCATATTATGAGAGGCAGTTGTATGTTTCAGTCACTTAGTAACACTGAATTTCCAAATGACAAGCATCTTGCTGCCTCTGTGACCAGCATATCACAGAGAACAGGCTGCAGGTTCTTCATGTTGGAGCTGCAGGCAAACAGCACAGATGTGGGGGTGCTTAGCTGTGCTTATCAAGGCTGGATTGGCAGATTTCTTTCTCAAATCCTGCCCCCAAAGCAGTAAATTCAATGATGCATCATCAGTAGAGCACAGAACAAGAGAAGAAGCCAAGAATGAATTTGTCACTGTGGAACATTGTACTTGCAAGGAAGTACAATGCTCATTCACTACTGGGGGTGGGGGGGACTTCAACAAGCATAGCAGAAGGCCAAGTGCTTCATTTACTAATCTGCCAGGATACCAATTTTCAGAGAGCATAATATACACCAGTGTCTATGGGGGGGGAAACGTAAAAAAATAAGGGTGCGGTAAACAGAAACTGCTTACCCTTAAACACAGGAAACATTTGTTTTGTTTGTGGCATATATATCCCACCTTCTTCAATGAGCTCCAGGTGGCATACATAGTCTTCCCCCCTCCCTATTTTATGCATACAAAAGGTTCATGCACCAGTTAGGCATTCAAGGACACCAATTGCAGCAGCATCACTCAAGCGGTAGCATCTCTCAATTGAATCTGAAGCTAGCATACCTCAGGTGAACTGTCACTGGAGGGGTAAAAGGAATATACTGATCCTGGCCTGATTCACAAAACCATTTAAAACAGTGTTATAATGAGTGGAAGAACATTTCTGACACAAGGTATGTAACTTCTTATTAGAAGTCATAAGGCATCAATATAAGAAAAAGGCAGAGGGAAGAAACCTTTTGAGTACTCTTTCATTAGAAAACTGGCTGTTCTAACTTTGTTGCTCTGGATTATGTCACTCTTTACAGTAGTATGTAAGATGTGCATGGAGAGCTGATGATAGACTGGTCAGGCTAACAGGTTAACTACAAGACATCAACCCAAGGGTTCTCTTCTCCCGTTGCAAATAGATGATTTTGGCCATCTTTGCACAGGCCAGTTAGCTCTGAAAAATGAAATTTTATGGTTGAAACTTCATTATTTTGAGAGGGGGGAAAAATGCTTGTGAAATCTCTAGCAGGAGTCAATCACCAAGCAAAGGCCTTCTTCTGAAGCAGTAACTGAAAGTCAAAGTCAGCATGAACATAGCACAATTCAGTCAAGTAACAATGAAACATTATTCTTTTGCTGAGGGAGAAACAAAGAGAATGATCACCAATTTATGTCTGGAGTGTGAAAGGATACAAACAACATACACCCTTAAGTTTTTTTCAGAAATCAATAATACGTAGCTAGTGCAAACATGGGACGCGGGTGGCGCTGTGGGTAAAACCTCAGCGCCTAGGACTTGCCGATCGTATGGTCGGCGGTTCGAATCCCCGCGACGGGGTGAGCTCCCGTCGTTCGGTCCCAGCTCCTGCCCACCTAGCAGTTCGAAAGCACCCCTAAGTGCAAGTAGATAAATAGGTACCGCTTTATAGCGGGAAGGTAAACGGCGTTTCCGTGTGCTGCGCTGGTGCAGGCTCGCCAGAGCAGCTTCGTCACGCTGGCCACATGACCCGGAAGTGTCTTTGGACAGCGCTGGCCCCCGGCCTCTTAAGCGAGATGGGCGCGCAACCCCAGAGTCGGACACGACTGGCCCATACGGGCAGGGGTACCTTTACCTTTAGTGCAAACATAGTGCATGTTGGTATTGGTTTAACTGTATTTCAAGAAACGTCCCTTCATGTGATTATGTTGATGTGCAAACAAGATATTGCAGGTAAAATGGAAGCATCCATAGGCTATGTAACTCTGGCAGTAATGGTAATGTTCTTGGTGGAAGCAACCTTATACTGAGTCAGACAATTGGTCCATCTACCTCAGTATTCTCTACACTGACTGGCATCAACTTTCTAGGTTATCAGACATGGTTCTCACCCAGCCCTAACTAGAGGTGCCCAAGAATGTACCTGGGACCTTCTGCATGCAAAATAGATGCTCTACCACTGAACTATGATCCTTCAAAGTTCATAAGCAAGAACCTATACTCATATGCAAGAGTATTTGTAATATGGAAAAAGCTTTGCCAATATATGTTTCACTTTGCTACATTCATCAGAAAGTATATTCTTTCTTTACTTTCTGATTATCATCCAAAGGAGCTGATACTGACATTCCTGTACAACAAATTTCAAGGACATTTGGACATGAGGATGGACCTAGAATATTATGCAGAAATCAGCCTTAAAAGTGAAAAACAAATATACATCACCTGTGGGAAGAGACAATATTATAAACTATTCACATCACCTGTTACAAATGAATGAAATCAGAGGTTGTATTAGAACTGGCCTGGTTAGGCTGTAATCCACAAACCAATTGAAATTGCATATGCACTTGATCCATTCAGTTAACTTAACCACCGGTGAGGAATGCAATGGATAACTCAGGTTACCTATTGGGCACATCAGCAGACTATCCACAAGGATAATGATTCAAGCTCTGCTTTTGTTTTACTGACATTATCAATTATTGGGATTGCTAACTTGGCTTAAGGAAAGCTAGCTTCTCTTTTATTCCCCTCGTGAACCACTCTAAATTTGGATGGCTTTCCTCACAGCAACAGTTGAACAAACAAACAAAAATATTTATGAAGCCAAAAGGAAAAGGCAGCCAACTCCTGACAGGTACACAACATGAAACCTACTCCCGTTAATGAAAGGGGTAATGCAGATACTGGGATTTCTTCAAAGCATGCAGCCTTGATGTTTCAGAACTTCTATTAAGCTTAGAAGGAAGCATCAATTCCATAGCTAGAAAATATTGCTATGTCAAAATAAGGATTCCAACTGTGAGCTATTTGGCCAACAGCAACAGGATGCCATCCATATCAGGCAACAGCCCCCCTTACCCGCTTTCCCCGAGTTCTCAAATAGCTGAGAACACAACAGGGAAACCCCTGTTTTCACACACTTAATTCCAGTCACATGCATCTTTCTAAGAGTGCATTAAAATGAACCCAGCACAGTGTTGGCAAATGCTTATAATCTGACCAAACAGTAACCAGCATCTTCCAAATAAGGCCATGCACAACTATTTTCATGCCAGACTGCAAGCTGCAGCCAACCAATCTGGCTCTAGACCTGCTTGGGTCTTGTTAAGAGGTGGTAAAAAGCTTTAGCATTAATCAAACACTTCCCTACAGAGAAGCCATCTGCAGAGGAAGCGGCAATCAAAATAACACAGCTTTCTCCTGCTCCTAGCCTTTGGCCAAGTGGGAAGGACTTGCACAAAGACACACTTTTCCACGTTAGTATGCCCACACACACACACACACACACACACACAAGCAATCTTCTCAGAGCTGTTCTATAGCCATCCTGCAGTGTTAGCTCTACATAACCATAGACACACATGCCTAGTAATACCACTGCTAGTTGCACTTTGAAGAAGCAGAGCAAAAGGAAAAGAAAGGTAATATCTTTGGGCCTGCTTAAAGTTGCTTGTATACATCTGGGGCTAGTTTCCTCCAGTCTCAGAACATGCAGTCCACTTGAGCGAGCATGTCAGGGTCAGTCTTCCTGTGTGGCCACACAGACATTTTTACAGCTGGGAGAAGCAAAATTTACATTGCAGGGCTTTACTCAAAACTGTTGACCTTTTTTGCTACAAACTTACCCAAGAAGCTTCCCTTTGAGCACCAGACATGTTCATCTTAAATAGGTGAATATTTTGAGAAGTCAGCTGTGCAAAAACAGGACTATAGGACGGAATCCATTATGAGATCTTAGGCTGAAGCACTAGTTATGTCTATGATAGTAATAATGCTTTTTAACGTGTCTTATACACCCTAAGCAGGCCTGAATTATTACATTTTATAGGCAGCATTTACCCCTATATATTTCCAGTACCTATTTAAAAGCATTATACTGCCCACATGATACCCAATATCACTCACCCCTGATGAGGCAACGAAAAGTTATCTTACACAAGACCCTCCAGCTGGTGTGTCCACCACTAGGTGTGCTTCCATAATAATATTTGGTTAATTTTTGTTTAATTTTGTTACAAAATATTTCTAGGGTGCCTTTCCTTTAAGGTTATACCTTTTTAAGGTGGCTTACAATATGAAAAAAGCTGATTTTGGGGATTCAATTCTAAGTTCTTGGCTTGATGTTTATATATATAAAAACATAATTACAAATCTGGGTGTTTTAAAAATAAACAAAAATAAAGTGTGAATGAACAACAGTTCTCTCACTACAAAGAGTTGCAGGTGCTTTTAGGTAACCAGTCTTTACACTACACATGCAAAAGGTAGCCTTGTGAGCATATTTGATTAAACATCTGTTTTGTTAGAAGTATCCAAAATGCTGTTCTGCAAGACACCACAACGTTGAACTGAGGAAAGCAAGCTGCATTTGAGCAAAATCAACTAAGTAACTTCTAATGTTACCTTTAAAGCCATTAATTCCCCTAGGATTATTTCAAGAGGCAACAAAAACCATTCCATGTAATATGAGCCCTCCCTCATTTCTTAGTACTGCCCAGCAGCTCGGCTAAGCAATGCTTCCAAAATGATCTCTGCTGAATACAATTTCAAGTTATCTCGACTACAAAGACACACATAACCAAGCAGACTCCTTGTTCTGCAAACCACATTTTATGAAGTTGAAATTATGGCCCTATACTTAACCCATTATGAGGCAGAAGAGAGGCAAAGTTTATTATGTAGCCTGCAGCACTGTGGATTTCTGAACTACTGATTTATGAGGTTCCCACATTTTGAAAGGAAGTCTCCCTGAAGCAAAGAGGAGGGGGCTGGCTCCCCTAGGAAATACAGTTAGTTGAGAAAACACTCTTACCGTCAGGGACCTCATCTGGCCGCTTCCTCTTCTCATAAACCACAATGATAACAACAAGAATTATAATCTCCGCCAGAATCCCCAAGAAGGGCCACAGAGGAGCCAAGTGACTGCGAACACGCAGGATGGTTTCTTCAGCCTTCCAGCCAATCGGGTTGGTTGCATTGCATTCATACACGCCAGGATCCTCATCGATCTGCAGGTTCACTATGACCAGTTCAGTGTAGTTATCTTTATTGGTAATGAAGAAGCGGCCAGTAACGTTTTTGATGGGCTAATGAAAAGCAGTAAAAGAACAAAGGCCAAAATAATAATTGTTAGCAAGTGTTGTAGATAACTGGCTCATTTACTACACACACACATTTTTAAAATCATTCTTTGTGTTCTCTGCCATGCAAGCTTAACACCAGTCATATGGGAAGGAGTGCAGTATTACAGGTTTCTTACAGTAACAATTCAAGGATTTGACTGGCTTTCTTCTGAGTGTTTAAATGTACAGCAATGCCAAGGTTAGGCCCTATTACCACCACCTGCTGGCAACAGTGCAATCACATTTCAGTCACAACCTCTGAGACTTGTATCATTCATGCCCTGCTATAAACTCTCCAACACAAAACCCCAGAGTCTCGTCTCAAAGGGGAGCCCCCACAGACAAATCTGTAATGTCCAAACCACAAATCCTATGAAGGGAGAAGAGGCCCACTGTCTTTCACATACCTCAAACAATCCCATGAAATATGAGCAACCGTTTCTTCCACTCCATAAAACTCACAATATCCAGTCACAATCCTCCTAGCCCGATACAAGGCACTCTGAAAAGCGCTATGCCCCATCAGAAATCTGTACAGATTAAATTGTCCCTGCCACTGTCTCAGTTTAAAAATTCAGAAATCCTCAAATGATGGACAAAAGGAAAATATCCTCCTACCTGCAGAATCAAACACCCACTGTCTGTGCCATTTACCTAATAGTCTCTTGAAACCAGCTTTTAACTTTCAAGGAGGACAATGGCAGCACAAGATCTGTGTCCCTGTGTCCCAAATTCTTCCTAGCCACCTAATCAGCCCTCTCATTCTCAAAGATGCCCACTCGAGCAGCATTCAACAGAACCAAACCAGAATGCCCATTAACTGGCTTTTCCCTACCTTTTTGCAGCTTTGCGATGAAAAATAGAATTTGTATCACAATAAAATAAAATTCCAGGCATGGACAGTATGTTGATCAAGCAGGGTTTAGATCAGGCAGAGTAAGATCTTGCAACCATACTTGCAATGCCTAATTTGAGACGTAGCATTAAAAAAACCCTACATATCAGAGAGGCTAACTCTCATAATAATTAGTAGAACTGAGATCTGAAAAAAATTACCTAGATTTAAAAGCAACACATTCAGACTTTGATTCAGGGACCAGTATAACAAGATGCTTTGCATGTAGCAAATCTCAGGTTTGATCCCCAACATCTCCAGCTAAAAGGAGACCAGTGGTAATACTGAGAAAGATCTGTGTTTGAGTCCTTCAAGATTTGCTGTCCACTGGAAATGATACTACTGGTATTATCTAACTCATCGTAATGTGTTTTATCTCCTAACTGAAATGTCAGCCAGCAGCTCAGGCTTGCCTAGCAGCATCACATCTTATACTCACCTCAGAAAAGCCATTATTCTTCTTATACCATGTCCATTCAGGGTATGGGAAGCCTACAGACTTGCAATACATCAGTGCTTCCTGTCCTTCATTCTTGTTCTCACTTCGTTTGTGCCCGGTAATATCAGGAGCAGCTAATACATACACACGTACACAAAAAGAATACAGTGCTCTTAAAAAATTATGTTTTAATAGTAGGTTCAAGATAGAGTCAAAAGCTTTGATTATGGTAAAAGCTTTAATTATAGATTGTCATTATCTTGTGGTAGGTTCATATTTTACATTAAGTTTTCCATGTCACCAGCTCTTGCAGATTTCTCCCATTAGAAACTGTTGTATTTATTTAGCAGTGGTTCCTTCTAAGTCAAAAACGAACTGGGTCCTATGAACTTAAAAGCCAAGAGAGATGCAAAGAAGATCCATAGTTCATGGATGGTGAGAACTAAATGTCTCTAGTTTGTAAGATGATCTCTAATCAGTTGCCTCTTTGACGACATCAACTAAAGTGCAGAAGAGCAAAAGAAACACTTGTTGGATAAGTTTTAAGGAAAGCTTATTAAATTTGTAAGACCCTGAATACTGGTTTAAGATAATCAACTGTATTAATATTCTCTTTTGTATTACTGAATCAAGATTTTTTAAAAGCTTATTTTAATTATTAATAATCATTAATGATGGCAGCTGAATAGAGAAAGCATTTATATAACCAATAAGATGTTATTGATGTTATTCTTTTAAAACATGGCAAACACCTGTAAGATGTAGCAAAGGCATATGAAAATAACTAGAGATGTTTATACATGTATAATGTATAAACACTACCATCATTATTTAATATACTGAATTAATTCTCAGGTGTGACTCATAAGACATCCTGAATTATGTTAGCTTTATCTATTTTTAAATCAAGCAATTTATTGTGAATAGCTAAAAGCCTTTACAATGTACAGCAGGGGATAAGAATAACACTTTCCTCTGAAATTACACAACAGGACGTGTAAAAGTTTACAGCGTAAAAATTTACAGCATAGGGTTATAAAATTAGGAATCATTAAGCTATCTAGAATGGAGATTCTTAGCTGCCAGAGCAAATTTGCCTACCAGGTGTGTAATCTAAAGATATTTATCAGCTAAGATTTCAACTGTCACTTCCTGGGGGGATCCGCCTGAGAAACAGTTAAGAATAGATGATGAAAAACTTTCTCTGGGCGTTGTATATAAGGCACAAACCAGCAGGTAATGCATTATATCCTTGACCTGATTGCATCCATAAATGCATTTGCGTTCCATATGGGGAATTCCCAGATATCTCTCCTCTAAATATGCTGAGGTTTATCTAATGGGGCCTGCTAGGGCCTGGTCTGTTAACCCAGCCAGAGTCCAAGCCCCGGTCTCTGACACATATATCAAATACACATCACAGCATACCAGGAATCCTGGCTTACTGTTAACATGCAGCTTGCTAGTGCACACTGCCCATTCACTCACATTTCATTCCTTTTTTGGCAAGACTGGGTAAAATAAACCAGGAAGCCACAATATGTTTGCCTTCCCATGACAAACCTGGCATCCTGGTCTGTTGTTCCCGAACAAGCCACGATCAAGCCAATATAGCAAGTGGTGAAGTTGGAAAAAAATTCTGGCTTATCTGGAGCAACAAACTGGATGCAGGGTTTGTACATCTTGGGAAGTCCACCTTAACTGCTGCTTACTGGTTTATTTTACCCACTTGCATGAAGGAATGAAAAAGTTACATGCACCAGCACACTCTTCATTCAGTAAAGCCTGCCTTACAATGGTGTGTGAAAGTGGCCTTTGTAGCCTTTTTTATCTCTTTCCTTTTTCTTAAGAAACACCACTGAGTAATAGACCTGCACATTTAGGGATATGAAGAGTATATAAAAGCCAATTTCTAGTGCATAAGAAATAATTATTCAATATATCCTTTGTACATTTTGTATACAAGGAAACTTTTCACACCAGGAAAACTAACTGGACACTTATAAATGTATATTGCTTCTTTTCTAAACAAGTCTGTAAGGTGTCTCCAGAAGCATCTGCACATCTATGACTCATGTTTAATGAGTAATTCCAAAACAACTGAATGTCTGACCTACAACAGAGTGAAGAGTAAATGTTGAATGTAAGAAAGAAGGGGACACACACAAATTATATTTTTATAACATTCTACTCAGTAATGTATTTGTTTAAACCAGCACAATTTTGACACTTGAAAAGGTGAACTTTCATGTGAAGCAAAGAACTTCTTCACTCCTGAAGACCCCACACCAGCACACTTGTTCCTGCCTAAGCAGGTCCACTGCCACTCACTTGGCCATTTCTTTAACTCCTAAGACCTGTTGTAGAGTAATACTTTTGAGAGATTACGTGAGATCAATGAACTGCCTGAGATGAACCTTCATTAGCAGATGGCTTGGTATGCTTCAGTTACCACCTCTAAAACCCATTCGCTTTCAAGGCAGCTAATTTTGTCACACGTGTCCTTCTAGGCGACTGCTAGGGCCTGATCTGTTAATCCAGCCGGAGTCCAATCCCAGGTCTCTGACACATATATCAAATACAATGGAAGTTATTCAAGGGCCCATTCATTCTTTACTACATACAAAAAATGCAGAATCATGAAGATTTGCAATGTTGTGTTTTTTAAAAAAGCTCACTGCATAACCACAAAAATATAGTCACTGAATACCCGCAAAAATATAGTCCACAAAAATATATTGCTGCTTGTCCAGTGGGCAGAATGATGGGTGTTGTAGACCAGCAATACCCAGAGGGTCACAGGTTGCCAGTGGGAGGACATGAAAAATGAAGGACTAATAAATTGTGACTGAATCCTAAAAAGACACGCCCTATGAATGGGTGGTTCCAAGTTCAGAGATCTAAAGCTGACATCTGTGAGAAATTTTTGTTCTGATGAAGTATGAAACAGGATGAAATCCAGGACATATTGTCTAACAAACTGGGGTGTTCGGATAAATTGTTATTAATAGTCAGAAAACCTGGGGGGAAATGGAATGGATTCAAGTATCTTGAAAAAAAGCATGGCTGAGTGGCATGCATATTGAACGGGAGAACTCACACAGACATTTTATTGCACTTGTAAATATGCTAAATCTCATCTTCATTGTTTTAGAGTAGTGGAAAATCCTCATATTTTTTCCAAGAAGACCCATGCATTCAGAAGGGTTACAAAGAGAGGCAGGAGGAGACAAATAAACACACACATTTGAAGAATCTAAAGTTTGAAATGAAAGGACCAAAGGGAAGAGACATGGACACATTGAAAGCTGAAAATATGGAAGGTTGCAGTCTGGACAACAATAATTTTCAATTAAGTAAAGAGATCCTCAGAAAGTATTTTATAATAATCGGGTTTAGATATAGTAAGTGAACAGAGTTCTAGCTATCCTTTGAAAAGCAATGAAATATTTTCAGAAAGCTGATTAGTTGAAGAACCTGAATTTGTAGCGAAAAAGGCAAAGAAGCATCAAAGATCACGGACAAGTTCTTGTCACAAAATATCAACAGGAGTTAAACAGAAGCAGCAGAGAGAGAAAAAAAGAACTTGCATTTTATAACAATTCAGCAAAGCATGATCATTCAACAAGAAAGGACAGCAAATTGAAGATAAGGCAAAACCTTTGCTAGAGAACCAAGTCTAATGAGTGTAGAAATTATAGTTAGTACAAGAAAGTAGTCTAGGTGGCAACAGGTGAAAAAAAAGTCTCTGCACAAAACCCTGGAAAGTAGGACTGTTAGAAGCATGAAAATCAGCTGATGAGCCCAAGAAAGGGAAAGAAAGAAGGTGCTGGATGATGCAACAAACCATTAAACTTTAGGGGGGACAGGAACCTAAAGATGGTAGAGAGAAAATTAAGAAAGTAAATGGCACTGTGCTGAAGCAGAGATGGGGAACTTCAGTCCCTGGGGCCAGATGGGAACACTGTGCCAAGCAATTGAAAAAGTTGAGTTATTAATTTACACTTGGTAATGATTAAGCAGTCATGTGGACAAAATACAAAATCTATAGGAAACAGTGTACTTAACTATTTTTCAACTTGCTATGTGTAACATTTACGATTCAAAGTTAGAGACTAGATTTAATGTCCTGTGTCCTATCGCTCTTTACAGCTCTAAATGATCACCATTTAAGCATCAAGGTAGTGATGACTGCCATGCCAAGCTTTTCACAGTGCTGTAGAATTACTTTCTCCCTCTCTTAAAAGAGAAAGTAGTTTGAGCTCCTTTGAAATGTTGTGGGGCAGAGAAGGGGGAGCCTGGGATTCAGAGAGTATTGGACTTCTGAAATACTGTATGACACCCTCTTCTAGACCCAATGAACATGCACAATAAGATCTTTACAGGAGAGTCTGTCACATTCGCTCCTGAACTGGCCCCACCCAAAACTCTATTCTGAACCTAAGGAGAGATATGCCATTTTCTACAAGAAGAGACAGGAATTCTGAAGAGAGCTGAAGCTTGGAGAGACGGATTCTTAGCAGCAAGGAAAATTGTTAGTGGGCAGCCCATTAAGCAGGGTAAAAGAGTACAGCAAGGAAACAATACCAATGTACACACTATTCTAAGAATACAAAGTTTTCTGTGGGCAATTTGACTAAACAATTCAACAGACGATCCAAATTTATTGAGACATGTGTGGAAGATGACCACGCATGCAGTAAGATGCAACTGCAAGATTGCAAGAACTAAATAAAGTAAAAATAGTGATACAAAGAAACAATTAGTAGAAATTAAGCTTTTTAAAAAAGGAAGCAGAAAATAAAAATAAAGGCATACCTTTCACTTCTATAGTGGCATTTGCTACAGGGGAACCCGCAAATACGAACACACACAAATATTCCCCTGAATCATCTGCTCTGGGCTTTGGAATTCTGAAAAGAAAAGAAATGTGGATCCAGATAGTTAGCTCACAATTGGCAACAAATCAACTCTGGTTGCTGAGAAGCAATAGCTCAATCATCTATGTTTCATTCTGTGAACGAAAAAAGTGACTCTAAACCACTCCAAAATGATTATGTTGCATATAGTTTAAGTTTTCTTCTACACAAGAAAATGCAGGAGCCAAATAATTATGCATCACACATATTTAAAACGGGATCTTGTCTAATTTTGTGCATTTGTTTGTTGGTTTAAGGTAGCTTACTGGGAGATGCTTTGGTTGGAAATTAAATAAAACCTTTCTAGTGTTCAAGATGGTTAAGAGTGATTTTAAATCACTTGCCCTACCTTTCTGCAGAGCAACCTCACTAGATTATGAGTTATGGGAATCACTAGCAATCTGGTAAGTGCTTTTATAGATCCTTGTTGACAAACCATTTGTCTCCCAAAGATACAATGCCACAACTGAAAAAGTTCTGCTATGTGGAAAGCAGAACCCCCTGTTTTGGTTGAATTTTAAAGCAGGGGCTCCTCTGTAGATATTAACAGTTAGAAGACAACTGGGAATTTTAACAAAATGTTGCATAAGTGCTCCTGTTCACTGTTTCAGTCAGTCCTACTCTCCTGCATGACACACCATCCCACTCCCAGGTGGTTTTCAATTTCCTTTTCCAGTCAGCCAGTATCCTGTGGGCACTGAGCACACTTGGGTGCTTTGGCAACTTCTGAAGAGCTTTTCAAACAGCAGCCCCGCATAATAATCTCCTCACACCACAATCTCACTCCAGATCACCATGTTTTAAATCAATTTCACATCCACTAAACGCCACCCCCCCCCCCAGCGATATACTGTAGTTATTAAGCACACATCAGTTATAAAGACTGTTTGCCCCGCTCTGAAGTTAAGGACTAGAATATGAATATTTCTAAAGTGACCAACAGTGCTAACCAAGTTGTATTCCAGCTTCTATTCTTAAACTCAAAATTAGTGTAGTGAGTCGGGCAAAATTACCCAATTTTAATATATATTGCAACACAAGGCACAGATCCATATACTTGAATTTTAAACATTGACAAATACTATACGTTACCCCAATGATCAAGAAGACCAGACAATACTCTTGTGTGAAGTCACTGCCATGTTGAGGATGCTAGTAGCAAGGAAGTAGCTACTATTTCTAAGCAAGGCTGATACCCCTTTAAGTCACCATAAACTGGAGTACACCCTTAGAAGTTCTCTAGCAGGAGCTAAAGGTACCCAAGGTTCTGTCAGTACTATGCCCTAAGCATGGACCAAACCTTGAAATAAGCCACAAAAAACTGGGCAGCAACTGCTAGCTCTAGATTTGATCCACTGTTGGAACACAGAACAACCCAACTGCCTGATCTGGAGCATAGAACAGAAATATGCAATCCTAGCATATAGTATTGCCTAGATTGGACTTCTCACATGCTACAATTTAAAAGAACTGGACCAAGGTAACTCAAATTCTATATGAGTCTTACACATACTACAAACTGAGGAGGTTTGCATGTGATTATGTTGCAGAGTTTACTCTTATTATTAAAGGAAGATGAGATAAATTATACAAAAAAGAATATTTACAACAAAGAAAACACAACTTCTGACCAGCAGAAACTGTATTATTTTGAACATTACTCCTGATGACATAATGCTCAACATGAATCCACAGTAATGAGTCTTAAATGTCACCTAAAATTTATTAGCCACACATGTCAAGTTTCACTGGAAAAAGTTTAGCTATACTGTAGCTTCATTCATTTTTTAGGGACAATACCAAAGCCAATTCAAGGCTTACCTGTACTGGGTAGTGTCTGTGTTCTCTCTAGTATCCGAAATCTCTACACCATTTTTCACCCAATAGCTGTCAGTGAGAGGGCTGGGAAATGTTGTGAGGTTGCACTGTAGTGTGATGGGAGGTGTAGATTGTGGAATGATGATTGTATCATTACTGGCATTGATCCTGGGCTCTAAAAAAGAAGGTACATTAAAAAGAAGAGTAATCAGTTTCTGCACACTAAAATGCCCTACACATCACAACTAAATGGCAGAGGAACTGGGAGAGGGAAGAGAACTACACATGGAACACAGCTTCACTAGCTTAAGAGACATCAAGAAAGTCATACAGCGAACAGCTGAGCAGCAGAGAAAGGCAACAAGGACCAGTCCCCCTATATGAAAAGGGAAAAAAGAAAAGAATGAAATACATTCTGGAGTTTCTCATATTTAATATAATCACACGTAAGGTTAAGGTTAGTAACATTTACGCCTTATCAGACTCAACAATGGAAGAGGCATAATTAACAGCTACGCAAGCAAAATAAGCTCCATCCAAGTAATAGCCAATTCACCGTTGTGAAGTTTTGACATGTACACATAACATCAGTTTGAAACACCTTCATCCTCATTTATGCAAGCAACAATCAGCCTATTCCACTAAAATAAAATAAAATACAGAGTTGTATCCAATATAGCGCTAAGTAACTTGTTTCATTAGCCCAAGGATTTACACTTGCGCAATGGAACTGCCCTCATTCCACATGCCCCATAAATCTGTTCTGGGGGTTTCCTCAACCCTCTGGATCAGGGGTCAGCAAGCATTTTCAGCAGGGGGCTGATCCACCGTCCCTCAGACCTTGTGGGGGGGCCAGACTATATTTTGGAGGGGGGGAAATGAACAAATTCCTACGCCCCACAAATAACCCAGAGATGCATTTTAAATAAAAGCACACATTCTACTCATGTAAAAACACCAGGCAGGCCCCAGAAGTAAGCCAGAGATGCATTTTCAATAAAAGAACACATTCCACTCATGTAAAAACACGCTGATTTCCGGACCGTCCGCAGGCCGGATTTAGAAGGCGATTGGGCCAGATCCGGCCCCAGGGCCTTAGTTTGCCTACCCATGTTCTGGATCATAATTGGGTTGTGCACAGTGGGAAGAGAGGATTTGAAAGTTGAGCTGTACAAGCATAAATCATTGTGCTGATGGGACGCAATAGTTGGATACTACTGATATTTTGGATGCTCTCATATACACCATTATAGATAAAATGCTGTTGCTGAAACAGGTAAATATCCTATTAAAGATATCAGTAAAGCGCAATAAGCTGTGTCTCTGCTAAAACCCTGTATAGAGTTTTCCAAACTGAGTTGCCAATGCCAAACTTCCAAGAAGCTAACAAAGAAAATCATGTCATTATCAGACACTTAGATTGCATTTAATACTTACATAACTTAAAAATACCAAGATTGTATTATGGTATCATAATACAATCTAAGAGAGATCAATGCACCACTTTAAACCACAGGCACACACTGGTGTTTTGTTTTTAAAATACGTGGCAGGTTATGATAGAAATAGAGGAAAATTATAATGTTTGCATGCATATGCACATGCAAACAACCCCACACATTATCTAGGACTAAAGAGGTAACTCTGGAACAAGCAGCAACTAGTTCAACCAAACAGGCATGGAACAAATCCATTTGCTCCAGTACCTTAACCTCAAATATTATATCACTTTGGATCCCTCCAACATTGTTCCTTTACCTTTTTAAATTTGCAATTATGGGTTCATCCACAATGTATTTTGTAGTGTGCAACTAAAACTGGTGCTTGCATACTAATGCATCACATATTCAACATGAAATTACAACATAGGATATGTGAACCACAATTTATATATAGTAAAGTGTCGTTACAAACACAGCCTTGGTTTATGGGGACTCTAAGTTTTATATACCATAGAACTGAAGTGCATTAAGTTCAGTTCCCAATAACAGTTTTCATTTCAACATTCAAAGGAAAAAAGAATGGGAGTTTTTCTGATCCCTCTTCGTTATACTTTTAAGTTAAAAACAGACATTCTATTGAGACATTTCCAGAATAAATCTAGCCATGGCAGTTAAGCAGTGTGTAGATTTTTTTTAATGTTGTATTTTTGAGCCCTTCAGGGCTCTGGGGCTAATTTATACATAGGCATAGGAGATCCATAATCAGGTCTCCCAATGTTTTTATTCAGGTTTTTTTCTTCAGCCGGAACTCAACAGAATTTTGTTCTGGCACCTCTCAGGTGGGCACCATTGGCATTATAAGAGAACAGGGTGAGTTCCGGAACCTCTTTTTTCCTAGAAAAATAGCACTGTTTTTACTTTTATTACATATGAAGTGCTAATAGGCAGCAATGAATGTTTATTCTGAAAGGTTCTACAAAACTTGTGTCCAGCTTTAATATGGTCCGAAATCACATCAGAGAAGATTTATAAGGTTCATCTGCGTAAACACTCTGAAAGCAACGTATTAATTCAAAGGAAGAAAAATTATTTCAATAGTTGTTTGCATTTTATGCCTCCATTAACAAAACCTGTCATTTTTGCCAGTCTACAGTGAGAAATTGCACTGTTTTAAATGTTTCATTTCTTTTCCTACCCAGCTGCCTGCCTGCCTTTCCCTTAAGAAAAATAGTAAATGTCAGAATAAGTTAGATTTTTAAAATAAAGTTTTTGTATTTCCAATTTAGGATCACATGTAGGAACTGATCTAGGTACAATTATGGCCCAAACAACTACAGGGTGCAGGATCCTCTTGATCCTCTTGAAGCCCTTCCCTTGGTGCTATGAAAGGTGCTATTATGCAGACTTGATTAAAGAGGAGAACAAGAACTCTATAAAAGGTGAAAGTGAGTTTTAATCTGGTTTATAGTTCATAATTTATTTTAAGACTGATATTTAGGAGACATACTTTTATTAGGAAATATTTTCCTTTTCCTTTCATTTGGCAACATGTGATTGTCAAAGGGCAGCAGTCAGAGCTATCAGCAGGTATTTCCCAGGATTCCTCTAAGTCCAAGAGATAGAGCTATATTGCATTCTCCCAAATTGCAAGTTATTTGTTACACTTTTCCTACTGCAACCTGAACACCAGAAATCTAAAACTCAACTGAAGTTGAGAGCTGAACATCAGCAACTAAATGTCCTCCCAGCTCCATTCTTCAGGTGCTGTTACCTTGACGTTAAAAGGTTACACATTCTTGCTACCCACAAACCCGTGATCAACCAAACTCACTCATATAGTTGAAGTAATAAGAAAAAATAAAATGAATAGCAGTTCTAGATCAAAGATACTTGGTGAGCCAGTTATTACTGCATGTAAAAAATGGTGCACTGTCAATACTTGCAAAGGACACACCCGATCTCTATTAGGAAAAGTTGTAAATGTATGAACAATGTTCGAGTGACTGTTAAGCAGGAAAACGTGGAAACCAAAGCAGAAGGAAGGGGGCAGGAGAAAGATGCACAAGACTTTGGGAGATATCAAATCGCATAGTTACTAGTTTGTCTCTTGGAATTATCCAGCTTAAACTGCAGAAGGATTTTATAGCATTGTTTTGTCACAAGGTTGTTATCTGTATTTTGGAACATTCTAATTACCATAATTGGAAAGAAGCATATTTATAAATCTGAGCTCAAAACATGAAGCCAGTACTGTAAGTCAAAATATCCTAATCAAATTGTTTACCATCTACATTATTAGCTTTACTCATGACTTGTATGTTGACACATAGAGCCATTTCCCATTTCATGTAGGAAGATTCTGTAATCCAACCAATATGCTGGTTGCTTTCTTTTAATGTATTTTTTTTTAATTGCAAGAGCTGTTACCTTAGATAGCTTTACAAGTTTCCACATCCACTATCAGTTTTACATAACTGGGACACCCTTCAAGTGCTCTATAAAGCATGAGTCTCAAAGTTACAAGTGAACACAAAGCATATCTTCCTGACGTACAGTATTAAACTTTGTGCTTTGAGTTTATATGAAAGTTATACAAAACACTGAAAACTGCATTTCAGAAACCCAAGTAATCCATAACAGAGAAACTGGACAATGGCAAAACAGATGGAGCATGATATTTGACTAAGTTTTACTCAGAATAGACCTACAAGAATTAATGGATCTAACTTAGTCATGCTAATTAATTTCAATGGGTCTACTCTGAACAAAACAGTCCTCTTCTGTGTGTTTATTACTGTCTTTGTAGGGCCTAAAATGGCTAGCATCCACCTACATCAACTCTATTACAGAGAACTACAATATTGTCTTGCTCATCACTGTCTTGGCAAAGCAGCACTGTTAAGTAGGTATGCTGGGGATGGCAATTGAAGCTTTGGCTTTATCAGTTCCTTGTCAACCAAGCTGCCTGCCTGACTATGTTAGCCACTACACATTATCTAGCACCTATTTGTAACTAATGGTGACCCTACTGCTTCACCCTATATGGACTTCCACTTCTTTGACCAACACCTCTTCCTTCCACCCTATATTTAATACAGTATTTTCTTACACTTAAATCATAGAACTCTGTACCCACATTTGTTCCCTTGCTAGGCTTGTAGCTCCAACCATTTCTTTTACTGTGGTATTACTCACTGTTGACCCTAAAATGTACATTTCTTTGAAGCAGGTTCTGTATGTTACTGACAAGACACTATTGTAAAAGGCCATGACTGCACTGTATAGAAGTGTAATTTCTGGCCTGGACTACCAGTTTTACCCAAAACTCTATTCCTCAGGCAGAGGGACCACAGCAACTAAGGCTAGTTATTTTCCAATTGTATGGGCTACATGAGAAGAAATGAAAGAAGTGCTGGTGAGCTAAAGGAAGAAGTGCCTAGAAAAGAAGAAGGCCATAACTGCACACTCATCAACATACAAATTTCACACAAGCATGACACCTTCTGCCATGCCAGATTCTTCTTTTACCCATTTGCCTTTGAGATTCTTTGGCATACTTCACTTCCTCCCATCCATGTTCCCAGCTACTATGTTCTCGAAACACATACACATTTCCCCCCCAAATACATGTCTATGCAACAGATATGTACACACAAACCCAGATGTTACATTACTCACTCATATGCTCTTTCCAGACAAATTGCAATATTAAATGAAGTAATTATTTCTACAATTTTTTGTGTGACTTTATTTTTCTAGAACTGTTCTATTTTTGTGTTAAGATAGGAAACTTGAAGCTATACTTTAGCAATAACAAACATTATGGAATGACGTTTGCAAATAGGTTGTGCTAAGGACTATAAATTAAGAAAAACAAAGGCTCAAAATTTTCAGGTGGAAGAAACGGCAGCAAAAATGTTGCACCACAAACCCTGTATGCTCTCTAAGGTAAACTGGAGGAGCTTGTTTGGGGTCATTTGATTTTGATGAATCATAAGCTGGGGTACCGTGAATGGAGTTGAGGTTTGTCTGAGGTGAAGCAGGATTGGTGCTAGAGCATTCAAGTCAGAGAAATGAATTCTGACAAGCTTCATGGTGCCTCAGCAATCCAGACATCTACTTTTGCTGCAGGTGAGGATCTACTGAAACCAAAAGTACGTCTCCAGGTTTATCATGTATAAGGAAAATGTGAGAACGTTTGGGGGGAGGAGCAGCATTGCAAAACCAAAACCTATTATTTATTAAATTTATATACCACCCTTAATCTGAGGATCACAGGGCAGCTCACAGTACAAAACCACAAAACTACGTAACATAATAACAAACAAAACAATAATTTTCCCCAAGCCATCAGAATGTAAGGGAGTTAAGCTCCTTTGTAACCAACAAGTTTGGCTTGTAATCAAAGTGAATGACTTTTCCCGGATAGCTCATCCTTTTAGATTCTTCCTCCTCAAAATCAATTTTTGAAAGCTGCCTAGCACAAAAGTCCCTGAAACTATTCAACTGCAATTTGAATGTTTTGTTTGTTTGTTTGTTTTGACCCAGGAGCACCTTTTGGGTCTGCAATTTTTAGACCAACTTTCCATAAAACACTAGAGGAAATTAAAGATTTCCTTCTTTTTTACACACCAAAAAACTGTGATAGCTACGCTTGTAGGGCAACCACTGCAGCTGCTCTTCTGAACTTTGCCAGGATTTATGCCCTGGCAACCTTGCTTGCAAATGTCACCCAACTCCTACACAAAATAAAGTTACAATATTTCTTGTTTAAAAAAGGTCCAATTTCACAACTGCCTAATACAAAAAGGCCTTGGACCTATTTGCCTGCATTTGAAAAGCTTTATCCAGAATGGAGGGGCAAGTGAATTGGCTAAAACGCCACCCATTTCTCTCAAAAGTTATAGCCATTTTCTAATTTCCCAATAGTGAACTGGAGGGTGGGGAACAAAGCAGAATCAGACCCTGAAACAAACTGAGTATCCTTCCAAGAACCTTGGACAGCAAGCAGGTCTGAACTGAAGACTGTGGTTGGTTGGTGTAGACTTTTATAATTTTAATTTGGTTGTCAGCTTAGCATGAGCTGCTGTGGGAGACATAGCAGAATAGTGGTATAACTCTTCTGATGAACAAGACAAATGAGAAATGGGATCTATGGGAAAGATAATATGAAAAAGTTCTAATAATAACCTTACCAATATTTTATCTTGGTTATTTCGGAGACCAAATTCCATTCTCTAACTGGCTCCGCTCTCTCACATATTCACTACAATAATTGCCTGTTTTACAGAAGAAGACTGAAAGCAGAATGGCCTTTTTTCTAACATTGGCTCGTGAAAATATTCATAGCTGAAAATGTACACAATACACATTTGACAGTTCTTCACTGTGAATCCCAGCTCATCCTTGTACTTACAGGCTGGCTTGGGCATGTTATTTTCTCTGCCGCAGCTCACTCATTCCCAATGGGGAAAGGAGCCATTCATGGAAGGGAATCTGGAAATACTGCCAATATTACCGGTAATTTAAAGGGAGTGGTGGCCTTCAGATACAATCAGCCAAATACATTAAATGAAACCAAGTTGAACAAGAAGATGCCCATTTTAAATCCTGCAACAGTGAGAGGACTTTCTTTTCTTCAAGTTATCCATCAACATTTTACTATAGCCAAAATGTTGTGTTTATCACAAGTTATCATTCCATTCAGCAGTGACAGACACTTGATTCTTCCTGCTTTAACATTCTCTTAAAATTCTTATTAATAATATCAATAAATACAATCGATCCCGTATTTGATCCTCTACTTCTGGTTTATCTACCACTGCCAGGAATAGGATGCATGCTCTTAAACCAATGATCAAAATGTCACAGCTTGGGGACACCGGGTTCTCAAGACTGCTTTCCAAAAAAACTGGGTGAGATCAGAATACAGTTTAATAATAAATGGAAGCATAAAGTGTTTTATGTTATTGTGGGCACTCCCTCCAAGTGTAGAGTCTCATGAGTATGTGTCATCTAAGCTGCAATAGAAAACCAAAATGGAAGCCCAGGATGTGATGCCTTGGGACACAGGAGCAATTCTTAGAGGGAGGTAAATAATATTTTAAAACAATCTGACTGAGTAAAAATTCAGCATAAATTTCTATCAAAATATATAATTTGTTACAAGATGGACAGCTCAATGGTAGCTTAACACTGCAAATGAAATGTGTATGTGTCAGTTCTATTCCTGCTTACTTTATAGCACTGTCTAATTGATTTACCTGTCATTTGTACAGTGGAGCCATTAAGGACCTAGCTCACATGGCATATAATAAGACCAGGCCCACTATCATTCAGCTTTCCATGTAAAGATGCTTAATGCATGCTACAAGCATGAGAAAGGGGAGATTCTTGGCTACCACTTCTACATGATAAGTAATGACTCACTTTTATATCCTGGGGCAAAAGCATCTGCATCAGTAATCAAAGGACCAACTTTTGAGAGGTCTGGGCATATACATATATGCTATTTATAAAAGTAAAGTGCTGTGACTTGAAGGGAAAATCCAGGCTTTCACATATAACAGAATTCAAATGGGAAGGATTTATACAGAAGTCTATGAACTCAAAATCATGTGAAAAAGAAAGGCATTCCACGAGATCCCAACAAAAGAAAAAAAAATGGTTAGAAATGGTTAGATCAGGGAACAACACAAAGTAGAAAGGCACTCAATGAAGAAGCCAGCATTAGGATAGCAGGAAGCCTAATATAGAAAGTAAAAGGGAGGTAACAAACAATCCAATACTGGGCTTGTTTTCACAGAGGAACTAGAAGACAGTTCCAGAGATTCTCCCCAGTCCTTTGATCCTAGGAAGGAGGAGACACAGTAAGAAGGTGGCAAACACAGTAAAGCACTACAACCAGAGGAATAGTTTTGGGTTCAAAACCAAAAAATGTGACAAAGACAATGGGTGGGTTATACCAGGGTCACAGGAGGGGTAAGGGTCACTTGACTGCCTCTAGATACTACAGTACTACCACTGTAGGGTGCTGAACTCACTCTGAAGGACGCTTATGGTAGCCTGGGCTCGTATCCACGTTATGGCAGGATTTTGCCTCAAGTCATTCCTTCTGGGATCGTTGCTCGCCCTGCACTCATAAGTCCCAGAGTCTTCCAAGATAAGGCGAGTAATTCTCAGCACGCTCACGCCATTCACCCCGTAGGCAGTGTTAATGGTGACACGGCGCTTTCGAGCACCATCCCATAGCTGTTTGAAAGATTCAGCCCGGTTGACTTCAGCATACCACCACTGGATCTCTGGAGTGGGATTCCCAACCACGTCACAGTACAGCTCAAAGGCGTCCCCCGTGAGTTTAGTTTCTGACATGGGCGACTTGACAAACCCAGCTAGAGGGAGGGGCAGCAGAAATGTAGTGACAGACCAGCAGAAAACAGATCTTATAAAGAATAAAGCAAATGAATTGCAGAAAAGAAAAGAAAAACAAAGAAAGACATGCTCATCTGCAATAGCAGCTATTACATGACTTTTAGAAGAAAAGAGACAGAGCTTACAGCTTGCAGAAAGCTTTTATTTTGTTTGCAACTTTGCAAAAAGCTAATCTCTCGGCAGATGAGCCATCAGGTTTTAACAATTTTACTGTCTATGAGAATAAACTGGATTGGAATAAAATATTGCATCTGGAAAATGCACACATTTTCTCTTTACTTTCTAAAATGCCTAACAAATGGCTAGCGGGGCATATAAAATAATACTTCAATAACAATTGCTTTTGTTGAACACAAATACATTCTCTTATTACAACTTTTGGGTTTAAACGCAGGTATTAGGAAAAGCTGTCCATCATAAGAAATGCTCTGCTATGACTCTGCTTTGACCTCAACATGATGTATCAGGAATTCAGAGATATAAAGTGACCTAAATTTCCTGCAATGGCCAACAGCCAGATATTCTAAGTTGCAATCCTACCAGTACAAAGAATATAATATAATATTACATTTATTTAAAAGCTATTGTTCCACAGAACCTATCTAAAAAAGATTACACAAGTTGTCATGCTACAATGTTTTTAATTTATGAACTCTATGTAATTGTATATATTAGACAAGCTCTCTGAAAGTCTTGGTCATTATTCAGTTTCCTTTAAACAATTTTGGTAAAAGTAGAACAGATTTAAAAGGTATTCTCCATACACAGATTTCTAGGGAAGACTGCTGATCACACAAACTATGTAAAGAGACTTATTAGAGCTCTGTATCAGTTATCAAGTCCTAAAGAACCAGTTACTAACAGTTACAACCAGGGTCAACTCCACTCAGTGCTACGCACATGGGAAAAACCTGAAGCCCTCATTATTCCTCACATATACGATGTAAAGTTGTTTTGACAAAAAAAAATCCATAAAATAAAATCCAAATATCACGTTACACTCCTTTTATTCAAACAGGCTCATAAACTGGATTGTCAAGTAAGTTCAAGAGAACTGTTATACATATGTTTGTGCAGGAACTACATAGCCCTTTTAAGAGTTGGTTTTGTCAGATGGCCATTTTTACAAAGGAATGTGCTGGGGTGGGTCAAATATCTATCTGCCCTCTGGCACCCTGTGACCTGCTTCCATATTCCTGCACATCCATGCTAGCCTGAACATTGTTTGTTGCCAACTTCCTGCAGTATAATAAAGTTGTCTTTAAAGACAGAGAAAATGCTATCATTCTACAAAACAATAGCTAATACCAGAAAACATGCAAAACTAGAGAACCAGTGAGATACTATTCACAATTTTTTTTTTACTGGATATGACACCACAACAAGTATTAACAATTCGTATGTCTACTTAAACATGAAACTCACTGGCTAACCTTGGGCAAGTCACTATTGTCCAGCACATTTCAACAAGTAAGAGGAGCCCTCTAATTCTGCAACATTTTTGATTCCCTAGAAGCAGGGGTGTTGTCAGTGGATGGCCCCAGGGGCTCGGTTTTTTTGCACTGGGCCATTTATCTCCTTCCTCTTACTTCTCTTTTTTAAACTCATGAAAAAATGTTATTCACGGGGTGGATTTCTCCCTGAAAATCAGCCTATAATAGCATCTATACTTACAAATTAGCACATGCCTATTTGTGCTATGAGCCTGTGCCTCAACACCCAACCTGCAGCCTGAAGGCATATTGTGAACTGAGATGCTACCCATCTCCTCCCTCTTTGAATCGGCTTGTTCCCAGCAGCTCTGAAACTTAGCGCTTGCCTAGTTCTCTTTGAAGAGTACCAAAAATGAGACATCCACATTCCAGCAGCTATCCTTCCAACAAAACCACAGACACACACAATTATGTAGCAACAGTTATATGTTCAGTTTCCCATAGTCTTACTCTGTTTGATATTAGAATACCAAGCCTATGGACTGGGTATTTCAGATTGTTTCCCCCAGTCTCCAGACTTTAAAATATAGGCATATATTAGGAAACTCCTGTAGCCAAGCTGGCACCAAACGTATTACTCTGCTTTCCTCTGGACTACATCAGTGAGAGTGAGAGAGAGAGGTCTTGTCATCTGGGCAGCCCAGGACCTCCGTACATATCGCCCAGGCTTGCCACTCGGGGTGATCACTTTGGCTCTGCTAACACAGCGGTTTGACTTCACCTCCAGAGGCGCACTCCATGGTAACTTGAGGCAGTATGTCAAAAACTCCTTGTTAAGTAAGTCTGGATCACTTTAAAGACATCAACCTCTGTATTTTTCTTGATAGAAGTTTAGATTTGTTTATCTTCTAATGGAAAGGAACACTGCAGTATTGTACAATTTAGTCACTTGCCAAACATACACATTCATGCAAGAACCATGGCTGGCATTCTGACTTATTAAAAATTAAACATTATGCTGGGGTTTTAATAAATTCAGCAGAAGTTTGAGTAATTTGTTTAAAATTTGTATTTATAAGCAGAAGAAAAGGATGAAAGGTCCTCCAATGTGAATATAAATCCCAACATTAAAACATAATGTGGTTCAGTTCTCAATTTCTACCTAGCTAGTCATGAACTGGGTCACATTATGTCTTCTTAATAAATTTATAATGTGACAAAAAGGTATCATCTTACTGAGAGCTTTTCTGGATAACATTAATGCTGCAGAAACATAATACATGCCTGTGCTGCTTTCCTATCATGCTGAGCCATTTCCATTCAGTTCTGAAGAAGCTGCTAAAATATACATAGCCTAAATATAAACACAAATGTATTTTTCATCTCTTGGGTTCCAGCTCAAGTACTAACATTTGCATATGATTTAGGAACCAGTTCAACTACTTCTAATACATTTCATAAATACTTATGCAACTTATATGGCTGAAGTGCAACTCCTTAAATCAGAAGTGAGTATTGTTTAAAAACAGTTTATATGCATGCATTAATACCACAATCTCCAGGACTCTGTCAAGCCATGCCTGACCAATGAGAAGAAAGAGTAAATATCAGTCTCCAAAATGATATTTCTATGCCAGCACACAGAAATGAAACAGCAACATTCTAGCATCAATAAGCTTGGATCTTAAAAGTTAGTTAACTTAAGCAAGTTCACAGAAGGAAAGTTTCCCATCTTCTCTTGCCCACTGAAGCCACCTGTAAAAGCCTCTACAGAGCATAAGGGAGAAGGCTCTTCTGAATTGTGTGGGATGGGGTGCTGTGGACCAAAGGGCTAGCAGAAAGTTGTCATATGGACTTACAGGTTGTTGGAAGCTGTTAACACTCAAGGCAATCGGTTCAAATAATTAAAAATAACAACAAATATGCCTCTAAATGGTTGGGGGAATCTGGGTTCATTTTCATTCTTGTCTACATAGACTGCTTTTATTCCTTTTTCACATTTTAATTCTAGTGAAGCACAGAAGGCTAAACTGAACTTCTCCAAGAGCATTCAGTAATGTTTTTAATGTCAGCACTGTAAGTGACAATTAAGCAGCCCAGTCAGCATCGGGATAGAGATTGAGGAAAGCCCAGCACGTGGCAGGAAGCAATGCTCGCAGATTGGCAGCAAGAACATCCTCCCATTGAATGTGGTAGAAACACTGCCAAGCTGAAGCATCATTTTGAAATCTGAAAACAAAGCCCTAACCTACTGCTACACACTTACAAAATTAAGTCATGACGGCTGTTAAAGACATAGGAAGAGTTCAAAAAGAATGCTAAGACTTCATAGATTCTGGCCCTTGCAAATCAAATCACCAGAGGCAATAGCCCCAACTCAGCAGTACACATGCCCCCTCTATGCAACACATAGGTCTTTGGCCAGAAACAGCATGAGAGACTTGCACTAGTTCTGAACAAAAGAAGTTACCTTAAACTGAGTCAGGCTACAGGTCCCTATCAAAACTCAGTATTGCTTTCACTGACAGACAATACTGTCTCCAGGGTCTCAAGCATGGGTCTTTCTCAGCCCTACCTGGAGATAAGCTAAACCTGGCAAAAGCAGAAGGTGCTCTGTGTGGTGGTAGGGAGAAGAAAAGCTGGATGGAACTCTAGGTCAGACCCAGCAGTGCTCACCTTACCCTGTGCCTCTTTTTTCCTTTGAGGAATTAAAAATGATGATGATGGCTATGTCTCCATTTATATCCTTCCTTCCTCCCAAAGAAGCCCAGTGTAGGTCTGAGTTGGCTGGTATTGGGGAAAGTACTCTTTTAAACACCTGGGTCTCAAGCCATGTAGGGCTTTGTATTTCAGTACTATTATCTTGTATTTATGACAAGTGAGACTCCTCCATCAAAGTGTAAGCAATTGTAATGGGTCTGTCTTCCGTATTGTGTGACTCTTGGCGCCTTCCCTCCTTTCCTGCAGACAGAAGCTGCATTATTTCTTCTTTATAGTTGATTTGATTTTGGCCTTTGTGTCACACCCTTCATAGTAGCTCCCCTCCCCTTTCCTTCTCTTTTTTAAGAGATCCAACTTTTGGGTTTCAGTATTGGAGAAGTAGAGAATTGAACTTTGGTGTTCATCTTAAATCATATTTTGCTTTTCTTTCAATCCTGCTCCTTTCCAATCCTACCAACTTCTGAGACAAAGTAATTCCCTTCCTTAATTTGTGCTGTTACCTAAAAGATATTTATAGATCAGTTATATTCCACTGAGCCTTCACTTTTTGCAAATTTAGTTCTTACTCTTCACCAGTCTGTTGTGATCATTTTATACACATGTTGCCTTTATTAGCATTTTGCCCAGCTTTCTGGATAGCCTATCACCGTGGCTCATTCCATGGCAAGCCACAGTTCACACTAGCCATAGCTGAGAATCAATGCACAATTTGTTTCCAACATTTTCATGCCACTTTGCAAGAGACTGAAAGCAGCTTCCATAACGCAAGTAACATTTAAGCTTCCAAACAAAGCATCTAGAGTCACAGCAATAACCATAACTATAGTTTGTCAATTCAATCATGCCGAAACATAGTTAATGCAAATCATGCTTACTAGTTCAGGTTTATCACTTCCAACAATCACTGCCAAACTATTGTGGTTTTTGGCACAGTCTGTTTGGAAGCAACTACATTGGCACCACAGAGCGGTATTAGTTTTCTTACATGGACCCCAGGTACCCTCCTGTGTATCCTGTGATGCGCAACCATTCTGAAATATTGTCAACCACTCAATCAAATAGTAGAGAGTGATATCCAACTCATTGGGGGGGGGGGGAGTTTAAAAGGAACTATGGAAAATTCTTTACTTCCAGTTATTCTCAGAGCTTTTAAAAATGCTGACAATAATTCTGAATCTTTTAGTTTAAAAAATCAGCATAACTGAGCTAACTGACCTACCTGCTTTGCATTATGTGTTAAGAATTTTATTTTAACAAAACCGGCTGTAGGGTTGTTTGGGTGATGAGAAGCTGGAAAGAAATGTTTTAAATAAATAATGCCTTATTAATGGCATATTTTAATTTTTGAAACATGATCTCAAACTTTTGAAAAAGCTTGCAAAAGTGTTCTAGTGATTCATATTGGGAGGTTACAATAAAAGGACCCCTGGACAACTAAGTCCAGTCAAAGGCAACTATGGGGTGCGGCACTCATCTCGTTTCAGCCCGAGGGAGTCAATGTTTGTCCGCAGACAGCTTTCCAGGTCATGTGGCCAGCATGACTAAACCGCTTCTGGCACAACAGAACACCATGACGGAAGCCAGAGCACATGGAAATGCCATTTACCTTCCCACCACAGTTGTACCTATTTATCTACTTGCACTAGCATGCTTTTGAACTGCTAGGTTGGCAGAGGCTGGGAAAGGGCAATGGGAGCTCACCCTGTTGCGTGGATTTGAACCACCAACCTTCTGATTGACAACCCCAAGAGGCTCTGTGGTTTAGACCACAGCGCCACCCACATCCACAATATTGCTTCCAAAGAACAAATGCATGCTTCAAGTTTAGAACTTTGAAAATAATCATGTTACATGGGCATGAATGGATAGAATGAGACAATGTCCTTCACAGGCAGCTCCACCTATCACAGAAGCGGTGACTTTGCAAACCAAAAGAGAAAGGTTCTTCCCAATGAAAGCCAGTGTGGTTAGTGTGTCTGTAAGACCAGGACCTGGGAGACCAGTATTCAAATCCCCACTCAACCATGAATTTCATTGGGTGTTACTGTCCTATACGTGCCTAAATTTTTGTCCCACTGTGCTCTCTGTGTGACCTGTCTTGCTATGGCTAGTTACAACCCTCCAAATACCACAAACAGCAAAAAGAACCAAATAAATTCTCCATGAAAAAATGAACAGAAAGTGCTGCAGCATGGGGAGGGGTGTGACCACTAGCCATTCAGTTTTTGGTCCTATAACCTAGGTTCCAGGAGCCATGTGACAAATAGCTTTTCTATCCCAGTTTCTAACACTGGTCACAGGTGGTTATTGGAAAGACTGCCTCTCCCCCCACATCCCTGCCCATTCACTACATTCAGCTGGAGAATCTTTGTTGGGTACACCAAATGCAGCAGTTGACAGAAAAGGGGCACAGGGCCTTTTCTGGCTAGTTCCCTTTATGGAACACCCTATGCATATAAGCCACAGATGACTTCTGCTATTAGTAACCTTTTACACAAGCCTTTTCTGATTAAGGTTTAACAACAGTTGTACTTTTATCTATTCACACATTGTTTCTGGTGTTAATACATTTATATATATTGTAAGTGGGATCTTTATCTTAACCTATTTGCACTGCATATACTGTATTGATTTCACTGTATGCTGCTTAGATACATTAGTTAGAAGTGGTATCTGAATTCATCTCCAGTATCCAAAGCTGAACTCTGTACATAATTTTGCTGTCTACTTTGACTTTGTACACCTTCAAAACCAAAGATATATTCTGATCTCATTTTGAACAGTAGAACTTAAAACAGTGCTGATAGAATGCGCAGTACCCCAATATAGTATTTTGAATCTGAGGTGACCAGGATAGAGTGGGTTGAAAACCAGGGGCCATTTATAATTCTTATAGTTCTTTGTTTTATTTATTAATCTTTCATTTTATAGTTCTTTTGTTTTATTTAACAGAATTTATATACTGCTTAATCATCAAAACCTCTAATCAGTTTACTTAGCTGATTATCAAATGTTCTGCCTTGAAGAATTCAGTAATGAGTCAAGTCCAAGCCAGTGAGAATAATACAGTATCACTGGCATGTACTGTAGTAACAAAGAGATTTCTGAGCAGACCAGTGGTGTTCTCAAGCAGAGTTTTATTAGAGATTATTTAAATAAAGATTAAACTGCATAGGGGCTAGAGCACACCCATGTCATCCAGACAAATTAGGGGAGAGAAATACGATGCTGTAATTATAATATCTGCATAGGCAAAAAATCACCAGATTCAGGAGTTATAAAAAGTTGTGTGCACAGGATTGGTTTTTTTTTTAATGATTCAATTGGTTATTTTCCAGCTAGAAACAAAAGACAATAATTAAGTTCATTTCAATATGACAACAACCAAAGGCAAAAATATGAGCATTGTAATCTTCCAGTTACTGTTAATAATAGGAAAACGAAAAACAAACAGCAGCATCTGATAGTGACCGTTAACTAAAATACTAATGCACAAAGAGAGGGTCTAATAGTCCATTTCAATTCAGAGATACTGACATGAAAATGTATACAGATACTGCAAAAGCATATGGGAAGGTTGCCTCAGCAAGGAGGCATCCAGATCATTGCCTCTTGCCCCATCAGCGTTGAAAGTCTAGGGGCAAACCAAATGTTCCACAAGAAAATAGCTATGGGCAGAGTAGCTCAGTGACAAGACACTCAGTGAGGTAAAAGGACTAAGTCCAAGGCTTTATAAGAGCCGGAGCATGTCTACTAGAACCCAGTGTCATCTAACCACCACTGTATTAGAAACTGCAGTACTAGCCAGGTGGTACAGGCCCCCGTTTTAGGCACGACCAATTTGTGTGTGATTGTGCGAACATGCAGAGTGCTGAACCCAGGAGTGACCCGGAAATGTCCTAAAAGATGCCACTAAAAGGACAGAACATAGAAGCAGGTTGTTTGCAGGCTTTTACAGAGTTTTTTTTTCAATTACAGGTGATTTCACAAAAGCATGTGATGGCCCAGAACACAAGACCCATGTAAACTCGGGGTTGCCTGTATCAGCAACACTTGAGTGCAGTGCGGTATCAGCAGCCCCTCTTCTGCAAATTGTTGTGGTATCACAGATTGCAAGGCACGGGGGGGAAAGCCTACACTCTTCCACTCTCAGAGCCACCCTCAGCCCATAGTAGCTTCTTTTTCCTTCCTAAAAGTAACTACTAGCAAATGTGAACTAAACCATGTCTACATCAAAGACTTGTCCCAAAGAAGAATGGAGAGTATACCTAAAGTAGACATTTTTAAAATATTGGGAAAGCAAACAGAGCTAATATTTTCTGTTCAAATTGGTGCTTGGTTCTGTTATTTAAGTCCAACTGATAAGGGTATTCTAAAGTTTACAATTTGTCCTACAACTTGGTTGCCTGCACCATATTGTGGGTTTTCAGTGGGGATTTTATCTTTGCTGTACATGGCTCACAAGAACACAAGCTGAAAGATCCAAATGAATAATTTTGCTTTACTGTTCACTCTAAGTCTTTACTGCCTTCCAATTCTACTTTCACAGGGGTGTGTACATGAGAAAATTATGGTGGCTTTACTGTCAACAAGGTTCTTCGGGCAGTTTCCAGCTACAATCTAAATAGCCATCAGTTATACAGTGGTGCCTCGCAAGACGAAATTAATTCGTTCCGCAAGTTTTTTCTTCTTGCGAGTTTTTCGTCTTGCGATGCACGGTTTCCCATAGGAATGCATTGAAAATCAATTAATGCGTTCCTAGGAAACCGACTTCAGACCAGGTCCGGGGACAGTCTGTCCCCGACCTCTTCTGAAGGCTGGGGGGGACAAGGGCTTTCTTCCCACCCACCCCAGCATTTTAAAAACCCGGGACAGCGGAGGGCTTCTCCGCTGTCCGGAGCGATCTTAAAATGCTGGCGGGCGGCATTTTAAAATTGCCCCGGGACAGCGGAGGACTTCTCCGCTGTCCGGGGCAATTTAAAGCCCCTGGGAAGGCAGGCAGGGGGACAAAGACTTTGCCCCCGCCAGCCTTCAGAAGAGGTCCTGGACCTCTTCTGAAGGTTGGCGGGGCGAAGTCTTGTCCCCCCTGCCTTCAAAAGCTGTCCAGCCAAGGCTCGCGGACCTCTCCGCAAGCAGCGGCAGCACTGCCGCTGCTTGCGGAGAGTTGCCGGCATGCCGAAGCCTGCGCGCGCTGAGATCAGCGCGCCCAGGCCTCGCGGACCTCTCCGCGAGCAGCGGCAGCGCTGCCGCTGCTTGCGGAGAGTTGCCGGCATGCCGAGGCCTGCGCGCGCTGAGATCAGCGCGCCCAGGCTTCGCGGACCTCTCCGCGAGCAGCGGCAGCGCTGCCGCTGCTTGCGGAGAGTTGCCGGCATGCCGAAGCCTGCGCGCGCTGAGATCAGCGCGCCCAGGCTTCGCGGACCTCTCCGCGAGAAGCGGCAGCGCTGCCGCTGCTTGCGGAGAGTTGCCGGCATGCCGAAGCCTGCGCGTGCTGAGATCAGCGCGCCCAGGCTTCGCGGACCTCTCCGCGAGCAGCGGCAGCGCTGCCGCTGCTTGCGGAGAGTTGCCGGCATGCCGAAGCCTGCGCGCGCTGAGATCAGCGCGCCCAGGCTTCGCGGACCTCTCCTGCCTTCAAAAGCCGTCCGGGATAGCGGGAAGCGCTTCCCTGCTATCCCGGACTGCTTTTAAAATGCTGGCGGTGGGGAGCAAAGCCTTTCGGCCCCCGCCAGCCTTCCTGGACCTCTTCTGAAGGCCGGAGGGGGGGGGAAGGCTTTGCTCCCCACCGCTAGCATTTAAAAGAGGTCCCGGAGATTTCCCTATGGGCTTTCGTCTTGCGAAGCAAGCCCATAGGGAAATTCGTTTTGCGAAGCGCCTCCAAAACGGAAAACCCTTTCGTCTAGCGGGTTTTCCGTCTTGCGAGGCGTTCGTCTTGCGGGGCACCACTGTATAGGAAAAACCCAACCCACTGAAGGAAAAAGCCTGAGGGCAGGGACTAACTTACCACTGATTTTTATAATTCACTCCAGGAAAGTTTCTGTCTTAAAAACCAGGGAAACACACTTTAAATCAGGCTTCCTCGGCCCTCCAGATGTTTTTGGCCTACAACCCCATGCCTACAACATCCCTAGCTAACAGAACCAGTGGTCAGGGATGAAGGGAATTGTAGTCTCAAAACATCTGGAGGGTCGAGGTTGAGGAAGCCTGCTTTAAATAAAATGAAAGGGGAGGGCACCCCACATTCATTCAATCTACACATCACAGGTGCCAATGTATGCAGTACTAAGAGGCTCACAATGGCAGGCAGCTTTATATTAATTAAGGCAAGGACTTATTCAGCAGTTGGATGTTTTTTGAAGACTGAAAGTTAACTTTCAGAACAGCCACTCTTGGAACTGAGTGTGTTCTTACTTTTAATAACCATCCTAATCACTGCAATAAAGAATTTGAAACCCTTCTCTTCTCTTCCAAGCACAAAAAATACAAAACTTGTGGTTTATGAACTGTGCATGCCAACAGGGGGTTTTCAAGTCCAGCTACAGCCATTTGAATGCAGGCACAGGGCTTCTTCAGCCTGATTCCCCTTCCATGAAGTAATATATTGCCTCTCCTGCAGACATCTGCTCACTATAACAAAGCGAATGTTTGCAGAGGTCGAGTCTATTTTATCCTAACAAAGTCAAATGCCATCACTTTATTCAAAGCCTACAGACACGTTCATCATTTAACTCAAATGTGAAGAGACTGTTCACCTCATTTCACCTAAACAAAAGAGACAGCATAAAAGATGAACACTTCAGACAACAGCTAGCATAAAAATCTCCAGATCTTTATTGTCAGGCATGTCTGACAGAAGTAGAATATAGCCAAATTACACAACTGTGAAGTTATATAAGGAACGAGTTCCCACTAATTTTCTGAGACATTTCTACACTTATTTCCAAATCCATGTCTCCAACCCTACAATTCTCTTCTACCTTAAAAGGGGTTGCACTAACGTAGTCCAGATTTTCAGGCATTGCTTCTCTTCCATTCTTACCGTATTTTTCGCCCTATAGGATGCACTTTTTCCCCTCCAAAAATGAAGGGGAAATGTGGGTGCGTCCTATGGGGCGAATACAGGCTTTCGCTGAAGCCTGGAGAGCGAGAGGCTCTCGCTCTCCAGGCTTCAGGAAGCTCTACGCAACCCTCCGGAGCCGGGCTCCGGAGGGTCGCGCAGAGTTGCCTGCCCTCCCGGGGTCCGCGCAGCTTTGCATGACCCTCCGGAGCCCGGCGCCAAGCCGCGCCGGCCTCCGGAGGGTTGTGCAGAGCTGCCTGCATTAGGAAGCCTCAGCGCGCCCGGGCTTCGCACAGCTGTCCGCAAGCCTGGGTAGACCGGCGCGGCTCCCTAGGCTTGCGGATAGCAGGCTCTTCTGGGGGCTGGGGAAGCTCGGGCTTCCCCCGTGCCTGGGGGGGGAATGATTTTTTTTCTTTATTCCCCCCCCCCCCAAAAAAACCTAGGTGCGTCCTATAGGGCGAAAAATACGGTACTTCCTTTTGCTAGCCATTTTTTTCTCAACAAGATTGTCTGAGTCAAGGTTCAGAAATTAAGTACTCACCTAAGCTAAAACCCAAGAGCCCAAATTACAGGAGAAACACAGTAACCGAACTGCTGTACATAGCAAGACAAAAAATATTTATACACAGGGTCATTTGACTTCTTTAAAAGGCTACCCAAAAAGCCATTGTGCAACATTAGAAGATACTGTCCACTCAAATATATTTTTCAAGCTAGGGAAAAAAACTATGCTTCTACACCAATAAAACAGTTTACAATGCCATTTAACTTACATCTGTTTTTATCATGTAATACTGCCCCACAAGTACACACCTACTGAGCAAAGAGGATACTGGATTTTATGTCTAAATACATGTTCACGCTCAGCCTTCTCAGGTATGCTAAACTTGCCTTTAATCAACCTGTGCTCTATTGGCTTCACTAATAATCATTATGCACTTGGTGCAAATCAATGTCAAGGAGGAGACATATACAATGCTAGATTTCTTACAGCACTCTTTAGAAAGAAAAAAATCCAGGGTTTCCATCACAGACCTATCAAGAGAACGCTTCAGTTGCTAAGAAACTAAAAAGCAATTGCATTATAAATCATTTAAAGAAAACCAAAGATGCAGTAGGTGGATAGAGATGTACCAGGAGAACCACACACACTGTTCAAAGTGGCACACCCCAAGAGGCTATGAAAGGGAGGAAGGAATGGCTACCTAAAGCTTGCACCTACAGACTCCTTTTGGTTTAGAATTAGATCTATCTAAGGATTTTAACAGCCCTCTGTTTCTAACTTGATACGTTAGGTACTATGACAAATTATCAAAAAGAAAAGCTCATGATGAGAGAAAACAAAAGGCTGTATGAGAGTCATGAAGTGCTCACTCATTAAGCATGTATTGACATACTCTGCCAAAAACCTATTGCAAGTTCCCTCAATCCCTACCTTATCATGTTCACCAGACTGTGAAACAGCAAGTTTCATTGGCCATCTGGAGTGGCTCATGACTACGTGTTTTGGATCCTTGGTTTTCTTCTTCCACTCTCTTCCCTGACCCACCCCAAGGCTTCCCTCTTCACAGCTTTCTACAATTCATATTCTCTCAGCTGCCATTTTCATTTATATCATTTTTATTCTTCCCCTTCCCTCTGCTCCAATGAACTTAGGTCAGGACACACTGCCCTGCCTCCCCCCTTTAATCCTCACATCAGCCCTCTAAGTTATTATCCTTATATTGCAGATGAGAGACACAGTCCAGCTAAAGGTCAGTCAGGAAGCTATACGGCAAGGTGGAAATTTGAACTAGGGTCTGCGTAGTCACAGGCCAACATTCAAACCACTCTGCCACACTGATTATCAGCAGTCCTTGAACACGCTTAATGCACTTCAGGCAATTACCTTATTATTCTTACAAAGAACTCTGCAAGATAGAACAAAACTGCTCTTTATATACATATATTTAATTTAAAGCATTTGTATGTCACCTTCCATAATGTATCCCCCCCAACAGTTAGCAGTCGGTATTTTTAAATAATAATAATAATAATAATAATAATAATCCATTGTAAACAGCATTAATATAACATAACAATAGAGCTTGTCTGATCCAAGGTCACCTGGTGGGGGTCCCTTCCTGCAGCAGAATTTGAAACCACGTCCCTTTGGTCATCTCAGGCTCACCCCCCTCCTTCTCTTCCACACCCACCCCACTGCCCAGTCTACCCCCTACCCAGGCTTGCCGGCCCTCCCGTCCCCCCCTCCAAGCTAACCACCAGAATGAGTGATGAATGGGAGGCCGCCCGGCCCAAGGTCACTGCCAAGTTAATCTACTGGGCTGAGCCAGCATTTGAACCCAGCTCCCGCAGGGAGGTGCTCCTCCCCTCCCCCTCCCTAGGCTCCTCCCCCCACACACCTGAAACGCCCCGCCCACCGCGCGACAACCTCCCACCCCTTGCGGCATCCCCCGCCGCGGCACCGAGGCGCCCCCTCCCCCCACCTGTCAATCACCGCCTCAGGCGGGTTTCGCTCTCGGGTTCGCTTCCCGCCGCCCCCCCCCCCGCCCTCCCCTCACAGGCCCCGGCCGCCCTCTCTCACCGTTCTGCGCGCCGGCCGGCGTCGGAAAGAGGCTCCCCGCCGCGGCCAGGAGGAGGGAGAGAGCCGCGGGGAGCGGCCCGGAGCCCCGCAGCAGCATCCCGATCCGCAAGCCGGCTGAGGAGAAGGAGGGCAAGGAAGGGCGGGAGGGAAGAAAGAGAGAGAATGAGAGGAGGAGGAGGAGGAATGAAGGAGCGCGAGAGCGGGGGTGGGGGGAGGGGGCGCTCAGGCAGCAGCAGCCGCTCGCTCGGTCTCCGCCGCCGCCGCCGCCGGGCGAGGTTCCTTCTCCGCCGTCCTTCCCGTCGCCTTCGCCCGCCTTTTTCCCTCCCTTTTCGCCTCAGCGCAGCCGAGCAGCTCCTTCTACCGCAGCGCCGGAGCCTCGCGAGACTTGGGCCCCCACTTCTCGCGCGAGGAGGAGGAGGAAGGGTGGAATCTGCAGGGCTTGAGGGAAGCGTGTGGGCGGGGCGAGGGCGCGGAAGCTCCGCCTCCCGCCGCTTTTTCCCAGGGGGGCACGTGACGAGGCGAAGGGAACCGGTTCTGGAGCAAGTGCAGAGGCGGCGGCTGCAACCTCCGCCCGCCTCCCGCCTTTAAATATATATATCCTCCCACTATATTCCTCTGAAAACTATATATTTTCCTCCCATTAATATATTTTCCTATATATTTTCCTCCCACTAATTCCTCTGAAAACACCCCAACCCCCATATATATATATTTTTCAGAGGAATTAGTGGGAGGAAAAACTCTGCAATAGGAATAAATGAGGAACTGGCCAGCCGCAGAAACGCCCGCGGACCTCATCCGGGGCTCTGCACAGATGCTCAGGAAGATCTGGCCCGTAGCAAATTGGCGTGAGATCATGTGAATGTATTTGCATACACGACTGGGAAATGAAGGCGCTGGGTGGCGGCGGAGGTGCTGCCCTGCCCTGCGCTTTGCGGTGGGCCGCCCTGTAAGCAGACGTCTGTGTGTTTTAAATGGCTTATAATTATTGGGGAGAGGGGTCGGTTGGGAGGAGATCTGGGCTCCAACAAACCGAATTGGCATCTGGATTTGTGGGGCGGAGCTGCATCTGACAGAGACTTGAGGCAAAGGGTAAGATTCTGACTCTTTCCCCCCACCCACTCCCCAATTTCATGCATAGAAGCTGCCTGAATTGGCAATTGGCTCTTTCTTCACATTGTTCTTTCAACCAGACAGCATTTTGCACCTGAGAGCAACCGGGTAGCTTAGGGGGCACAGTCTTCCAACATCTTGCTGGCTCCTTGTCATCGCCAACATCCGAGCCATTGCCACACTCCGCCTAATGGTAGGACTGGTCCTGACCGGGGTGAGCAGGAACCCTGTGCCTGAGCTTGGCCGCATCAAGCTGCAGGCGAGGACTTGTTCAAGACAGCTTTGCTAAATAAATAAATAAATATCATTGTGCATCAAATAAGAATGTGTGTGCAATTGTGGAGACTATGCTCGGTGTTGGTTCTTGGTCTGGTCCTACAGGACTCTTGAATTCAAGGGGGAAAGGTAGGCTGGGTGGAGACTCATAGGACTGAATGATTCCTACTACAGAATAAGTAAACTGTACATAGTAAATAAGCATCTTGGGGAAACCTAGACTGTTAAAGCATTTTCCAAAAGTGGCCTCAAATAAAGCATGATGCAGTAATCCCGTCTAGACCAGGGGTCAGCAAACTTTTTCAGCAGGGGGCCGGTCCACTGTCCCTCAGACCTCGTGAGGGGCCAGACTATATTTTGAAGGGGGAAAAATGAACAAATTCCTGTGCCCCACAAATAACCCAGAGATGTATTTTAAATGAAAGGACACATTCTACTCATATAAAAACATGCTGATTCCTGGACCGTCTGTGGGCCGGATTTAGAAGGCGATTGGACCAGATCCGGCCCCTGGGCCTTAGTTTGCCTACCCATGGTCTAGAGTCGACGCACTTGGGACATGGATGACCAGAGAGGTTTGGTCTGGTGTCTGTAGGATAGGATGCAACTGGAGCACCAACAAAAGCTGCTGGAAAACAGTCTAAATCACCTGGATATCCAGTAGAATTTCCACATCAAGGAATGTCTCATGCTGCAAACATGATCCTTAGGGGCAGGGTGGTACATTTTAAGCTGGTTGAACAGCTCAAACTGGATCAGCAGACTCTCCAGTCAACAGAATGAAGATAGGTTGCATACAGTAGGTTCTGCTTTGCTGCTGAAGGTTAGACCCGATGGCCTGTGAGGGTTCCCATCAACCTCTGCTGCAGTTCAGTGACTGCATCCATACTAAATAAAGTTCTCTAAAAATAAGATTCTTGCCCCCTGCCCCTGGCTGGGAAATGGCGCAACATTTTGGTAGATGAGGCAAACAAATAAATGAATCCAAATATTAAGCTTGCTCATTATTTTGTGAAATTTTGGTTAATTGCAAAAAAAAAAGGGATCTGTGAATCTTAAAATCTCAACACAAACCCAGCTGCCACCCTAGGATGCTTGAAGAGCCCAGTTTAAGTTCTGTGTCTCTAAATCTCTAGACTGCAGCTTGTCCACTTCAATTTCTTCTCAGAAACAGCACACTCATTCAACCTGATTTGTTTGAGGGGTCTTGCACAATTTGCAGGAATGCGACTGAATTCCACAAAAAAAAGCAATAGTTTGGAAGCCCCCCTAGAAGACTGGCCTTCAATGGGTGGGTCAGGACCAGCTTGTGGGTCACAGCCTGATCCAAGGTGGGTTGCAGTGGGAGCTTTACCTCCATGCACATACATGGTAAAAGATTAAGAAATGGGTCCTGTAAAAAAATGCATGTTTTGGTTAAAAGTGAATTATAGCTCTGAAAGGGTTGAGGAAATGGTTAAAAACAGTGAGCAGTTAAAAAAAAAAAATAGCAGGTATTAAAACTATTTAGAAGATTATTAAAATCAACTCTTGTATAAAGAAATAATGTATAACTTCCATGTGCCTTGAAAGGCTTGCCTGAACAAAAATGTGTTAAGCAGGTACCAAAAAGAGTACAGTGAAGGCTCCTGGCAGATGTCAAAACGCAGGGAGTTACAAATAAGAAAATATCAATTTCTTACCATTTGCTGACCCTCGTTGTTTCCCCAGAATCTGTTCCCTGAAACATGCTACCCACCTGTGCCTATAACCAGCAACGAATGTTTTGTGAAGGTTCTGAGATGGCCCAAATTACTTAGACTGAGGATGGTTTTCCTGAATGGTCTGCCTCTAGATTCCTTGCTTTTCTCAATATTTTTTCTCTTGTCAGTTAATCCTCACCAGTTCTCCAAATGTCTGCAGAAACCATGTAGGGGAAAACAACAACCAAACAATAAACACCCGTCGGTGTTTCTCATTCATGTTCCAGGCAGGGAAAATATATTTGGACACTTCACAATGTATCTTGTAAGAACGTGGATGTACAATTCTTCACAGCCACTTCTGCATCTTCCTGCTGTTGGCTGCTGAACAGGAATTGCTCTCATTTCTAGATGTTTACCAGCACTGAAAGAAAGCTCCTGCTAGGAGATTGCCTGAAAAGATCTCCATCTGTTTTGTAGGAGCAGACCTGCAGACAGTTCAGCACAAATGAGCCTATGGAGAAGAGCTCACAAATACTGTAACATAGCCAGGTGCCTCCCTGCTTGAAATTAATAGATTAGATCTCTAAATTTCAGTGGGTCTGAGCAAAATTTACTTGGATACCACTCTTAGACTGCAGTTTAATGCAGTCTGATTGACACCAGTGGGTCTTATTTCTAAGTAAGCATGGTCTGGATTGCGATTTTAGTTAATTAATTATACTTGTGTTTTAGTTTAATTGATTTATGGAGCAGTTCAGTTTGCACACAAGCACAATAATAGGTTCACTGAAGAAAACCTAACACTTTCGGCTTTCTTTGTTTTTAGGCGACAGAGACCTATTATAGTAGGTATATTGTCCAGCTGGTGGCCTTTGCTGGGTGGGCTTCAGAGGGATCGGAATTCATTTCACAGAGTGGGGCAAAATACATTAGTGCAAACAGAATTGCACCTCACAGGCTCACTTTTGACACTTTCAGGATACAGCTCTAGGTGGTGCATAGAGACTTACTTGAATACATGATAGGATAGGACTGTGAGAAGGACATATGGGTAAAATAATATTTTTTTCAAACAGCAGGAATGGGATATGTGAGAAGATAAAATGGGGCCATATCTGGAGACTCATTCCCCTGGGGAAGCAAAACCATTCCAAATGGAAGTATTACACCTCAATTATGCATATAGCCAGTGCTTTTGGGGGGGGGGCGAGTTGCAGGTATTCACCATGAATATGTTAAGGCGTAATGCAATTCACAACCAGGAAGAGGGGCCTCTCACACAGGCAGCAGAAGGGGTAGGCAGTGCAGCAATTGCGGCTCATGGGCCTATCTATGTCACTGAGCAGCTTCTGAACCACACAGTTGATTGCCTTTCCCTGCGTCCTAACTGTACATCGATCTGTGATGGAACCAGCCAACCAGAAACGCCAATACTTTTGCTAAACGTTTTTAATTACAGTGAAATAAATACAATCAAGCCGCAGCATCCTTTTTGAGAGGCGGCTGTTGCCAACTGGTCAGTACTGTGGGTTGCAGCCAACTAAGTTATACTTGTGGCTTAGTTAGTCAATGGGTCTGCTCTGAGTAGGACTAACATCGAATACCACCCTGAGATTCTAAGTTGTATCCTCCAGCACCCATTCGGTGGCTGACCACTTAAAGCTGGTGTAATGTTCCCAGGGTCCTTCAAAAGGTCTTGCTCCCAGGTGGTCTCTGACGTCAGTCCATCTGTTGCTCCACAGATGGACCAGTGTGGTGGACCAGAGCCAGTGTGGATGGACCAGAGCCAGTGTGGTGTAGTGTTTAAGAGCGATAGACTCGTAATCTGGGGAACCGGGTTCGTGTCTCCGCTCCTCCACATGCAGCTGCTGGGTGACCTTGGGCCAGTCACACTTCTCTGAAGTCTCTCAGTCCCACTCACTTCACAGAGTGTTTGTTGTGGGGGAGGAAGGGAAAGGAGAATGTTAGCCGCTTTGAGACTCCTTCGGGTAGTGATAAAGCGGGATATCAAATTCAAACTCTTCTTCCACTAAATCCAGACTTCCCCCATAATATCTGCTGTCATGACCTACAGACTTAAACCAAAATGTTATAAGAATTTTAACGTCTTATATTGTGGATAGCAACGGAGAAAACTGTGAGTGAATGCTGTCTTCTGCTGCTTACAGAAACTTGGCTGACACCAATTATTCCTGACTCAGCCATAGAGCTAACAGGCTATACAGTGTTCCGCCATGATAGAACAGAGGACTCTGGTAAAAGAAGGGGGGGAGGTTTGTGTGCATACGTGAATAACAGCTGGTGCACAAACCACGTTGTGATAGCTAGCTATTGCTCTCCAACTGTGGAATTTATGACGCTTAAATGCAGACCTATATATATCCCCCGAGAATTTACAGCAGTACTGATAACTATAGTATACATTGCACCGGATGCGAACATCAATGAGGCAATGGGTCTTCTGCA